AATAGACCAGCCACAAGAGTTCGAGACCTTCGTTAAGGTAACGAACTCCTTCTATAACGAGTGATTTCTATTTTTGAATTTCACAAAGACCCGCTGAATTCCTTGGCATTATTCAGTGTAGGATTCGCGGCAAAACGCCGCATAGATGCCACAACCCACACGCTCTCTTTTAAAACTTTCATTGTATCTTAAATTGCCTCTTGTTACTTTTTCGTTTCTCTCTCTAAAAAGCAGTTATTGTACTGCATCGATCAAAGGCGCAAGCCACGAAATACTAGAATATTGTAGGAAAACGGCTTCAAATGGCGGGAGTCCTTTTCACGAACATGTATATAGGCAGGACATCACTCCCCTTAGATACAAAACACCTAGGAATAGGTTCCACGAGGCAAGTGCGACAGCACTATAAGACCACGGCGGGACCCGCCCGAATACCCTATGGGAGGTTACAGATAGGGCGTTAAACCATAATCAACATCAACATCAACATCAAAGCTCACATCACGTGGCCGCAACGTCAACCTCCCATCAAAATATAGATAGTACAAGTTGATCGCAAGCATCTAATTACTCCCCCTCTATAAATTCGTATAATAACAGCTTATATACGTGGCTTAATAGCTTCATTTTTGAAGTAGTGGATATGGTGTTCCCCGCGCATCACGCGAATCCGCGCATCACGCGCACGGACACGTTATGTCGTCACCTGGCATGGTTGATATGGGTGTTTCTCGAAATACCTTGAGCCACCTGGATCTGGTTGGCTTGGTGGCCAAGAACATCAACTCCTATAGTAATTTGTTAGTAAATCGATGCAGCCACGCTTTCTAACACCCACAACGTATTTGAAGTTCATTGTTTGCTGCGATCGCCTCTACTGACTCGCGTTTTTGGTGTTGCAATTTTCTCGAGCCCATCTCATCGCGATGCCAGGCACCGGCCACCGCTTGCAGCCCGCTGTTCTCCAGGCTATCCTCGACCGAATTGCTGCCTGCGAAAGTGATCGAGCCATCTCTAGAGCTACAGGTGCGAGCCGTAACACAGTAGCAAAGCTGAGGTTGAGCTTAGAGTTTTGGGGCGTGCCTTATCCGCCGCGCTGCGTTCGACTTGGGCGGCCATCTATACTCCGGCAAGCTCAGCGCGAAGGCCTTCAGGCATACCTCAATGGCTCACCGGGCGCATACATGGATGAGATGAGGGACTTCTTGTACGACGAGTACGACGTTAGGATAAGCCTTGCGAGCGTTTACCGAGAGCTAGAGAAGATGAGATGGTCTCGCAAGCTTGCAACAAAGCGGGCAAAGGAGCAGAGTGAGCCACTCCGCCGCCTCTATCTTGCCAGGATGGCGCAACACTATAAGGCGGAGCAGATCGTTGCGTTGGACGAGAGCGCCTGCAATGAGCGTACGGGCGACCGCAAGTATGGCTGGTCTCCAATCGGGGAGCCGGTGGAGCTATCACACAGCTTCAGGCGATCAGAACGGTGGTCGCTGCTGCCAGCCATGACGATAGATGGCTACATAAGCTATAAGATCTTTCAAGGCGCGATTACATCTGAGATCCTAGAAGACTTCTTAGAGTTTCAAGTGCTGCCGTTCTGCAATCCTCACCCAGGGCCAGCCTCAGTAATCGTGCTTGATAACGCCTCCATCCATCGATCAGAGCGTGTACGGGTGCTTTGCCAAAGTGCTGGAGTACTCCTTGAGTATCTGCCGCCATACTCACCAGATTTCAACCCCATCGAGAAGAGCTTTAAGCAGCTCAAGGGGTGGATGAAAAGGAATTCAGCGCAAGCGGAGAACTTCATTGACTTTGGGGTCTTTCTTGAGTATGCAGCGCAGCTGGTGTGCTGTAATATTAACTGCAGAAGCTGGTTCCATAGGTGTGGCTATCCCTATTAATTGTGCTTTTAAATGGATGCCACAGTACGTTTCTATAGGTAGATGATACCATACAAATGCGAACGATTACACCTTAATGCGCAACCCACAAAAGCGATTTAATAATTCTAAAAAAATAAGAGCTATTTCTATACATATAGAACTATCTTAGGAAGTTAACCTGTTATAATCGCATAACGTTGTAGTGTTGTACATAGGGCTATCCAAATAGACTATTGTTGCAGCGCATTTGAAACGCCTGAAAAACCTCAACACTATAGCGGGCACGGGCCGCTGTCACCAAAAACGCTCAGGCCACTAAGCTTCAAGCATTCTCGCCATCATCCTCCACAACACTGCTAGACGGTTCAACCACCAATTTCTTGCGCGCAATCTCTTCTCTTTTCTTACAACGTTCGACTCGTCTCCAGTTACGATCTGTGAGACCCTGGTACCCAGCTTGCCATTCTTTTGCAGTGTTTTGTAGCGTGAAAAACCAGCCAGGAGGCTGCTTGAAATGCTGCGTCCACAACTTCAAGATATCACCAGATGGCTGCATCAAGAGGTTGATATCCATAGCTCCGTCAATAACAAGAGTCTTATAAAGCTCGTTAATGTCCTCTCCAACTGTAGGAAATTTTAACTTAAGGTAGTTAAAGAAATTACTAGTATGCTCGTTAATCTCCTGCTCATGATCATATCGGATAGGCGCCCACTGAGATGCACTAGATACCTCAGCTCTTGTTATCGTTGGTGCAGCTGCCTGCAAGTTAGACTCCTGTTGAGGTTGCCTGTTCATCCGCTCAAGCTGTCCAACGATGAGCAGTTTTGTTAAGCTTTTGATATCATCGTCGCCATCTCCAGCCGCCCGCAACTTGCGCGTTTTCTCATGCACCCGCAGGTCCTTTGCTCTCAAAATTGCAAGCCGTACATCATCAGATGGCTCATCGTACGTTGCCCTTCTCGCTGTAATTGCTCTTGCCCACATGGAGATAATGTTGCCGTTGACAAAGAGGTGATCTTCGAAGCGCGCTGGCTGCCTCGCTGTTGGCGCCATCCAGCAGCAATAAGGATAGTTCTCGCAATGGGTATCTGTACAGCGCCATCTATCCCGGATAGCAATAGCATGCCCGCTACCTGCTTGTTCAGCTGCTATTACACCAGCAAGCCCCTCCTCTTGAATCACCGTTGCGGTGCGTCGACGAGGACCGTCGACAACCGTTGGCAACGGCTGCTGCTCCCCTGGAATTTCAGCCAAGATGAGCTCGAAATCGACGTTTACTGGCTCGCTGACATAGTTATCAACCTCTACAACAAGGCGCTGAAAGCTATTCCACGTTGCATCAACACCTCGCCGCAATCGCTTTATCGCGCGCTCGCGTTTGGCCTGCTTAGCTGGGTAAACAACAGTGCAAACAGATGAGATCTTCGCTCTTTTTGGCCGTAATTCTGCAACAACGTCATCTACCCACTGCCATAGGTCGTCGAAATGCAGCGAGTACAGCCGTACGCCGTGCTCGCTATCGGCAGCTTCAGGAATAAAGTGTTTCTCCATATCACCACCAAGGCAAGCCCTCCACCTAACGCGCAGTACAGGATTAACCTCATCCTCTAGCGCTTGCGATGAGCGAGGCAGCCATGGAGTGCCTTCTTGACGTCGGTACGCTGGCTCTCCCTCATCCTCAACACTACCGGCAGCGCCCTTAGCAGCGATCTCATCCTCATCCTCAGGCAGCGGATCGCCATCTCCATCCTCGAAAGTATCCTCATCCTCGCCAACGATATCTTCAGCTTGCGCGGAGGCAGCTGTTTGGGTGGCTTGCAGCTCAGGCTCGGACAACGGGCTTTGACGGCGCGGCGGGGCAGTCGCTGGAGGCGACGGCAGCGCCTCACGGCGGACACGTTTAGGCGTTAAATGGGTAGGATTTTGTCTAGTTGCTGGCGCTCTACGCTTCTGGGAGGACGGGTTAACGCCTTGATCGAATGGCTGCTTCGGCTTACGCTGGCGCTTGGGCGGCATCCCAACAGCAGCTAGATTGAGCTCGCAACAAGCTCCACACAAACAAAACGCTATACACGAACGATTTAGAGTACAGGACTAGCTTCATGGGCTTCTGGAGGTGGGAAACGGCTGCTGCATTAATTTACTAACAAATTACTATGGGAGTTGATGTTCTTGGGCACCAAGCTAACCAGATCCAGGCGGCTCAAGGTATTTCGAAAACCACAATATGGCGACTTCCGTGGTCCCTGCACGCCCTCCCTGAACCTGCAACAAGCACGCGTGCATCTGGCGACAATGATGTTCAAGTCACTTCTGAACATCAAGAATACCTAGGTACTGTTGTAGTACTGGTTCATCAATTACAATTTGAGGACATTAATTCAATAGTGTGCACAAATGTCTTCCCGTCATTGCCAGAGTGTGGGCATTCATACAACTCCGGCTGTCTTCACACCTCAATCGAACCTGCCACCTTATAAGTCTCTCAACGGGATCTCAATATATTGCCCCGCCACACCCCACCGCATCGTCCGAATCTCGGCAATACATGAGCACCACATAAGTACCGGTATATTGTTGCGCCCTTTATCGAACGTGACGCACCGATAAGGAAGGAATTTGAGAAGGTACGCTTGGCCGCGTTCAGCTTTTCAAAGGAGGGCCGATCACCCGCTGAGGGTGCTATTGGATATCGTGGCCAAACTGGCGAAAAGAGGGCTCAAGATTCAGGGCGAGTTTCGTCTTGTGATCGCGAGGTTGTTATGAAGTCGTTTAGTTGCAATGGTTATAGGCCATGAGGTCCACTGTACAAGGTCAAGATTCAGTCAGTTGATATAGTGAATTCCGGAAATGGAAACAAAAGAACAAAGGTGCGTGGGTGAACACTGCAAGGTCTCCCCAAGTTGAGGGTAGCAAATTTGCTAGCCCTTTCGGTGTAATTCAACTGATTGTCTCGCTATCGTATTATGGAGCTTCTCCTATTCGGTCCTGACATCCAACACTACTGCAAACGCTGACAGTTGCTCGTTCAATTATGCACGTGGCCAGTGGACGTGGCCTGCAATAGAAAATGGACGAGACTGCAAACTCATAGAAGCCCGACGCCAGCTTCCCTCTCAACTCAACCTCTGTCGCTTCTTATGACGATTGCGCTCGACTTCCCTACCCAGCTCAAAAGCTTCGGCAAGCGACATGTCTTTGAAAAAATCTTCACGTTGCGCAGCGATTTCCATCTTGTGCTCTCGTTTGATCCCAAGCTCCCGCTCAAGTTGCTGGAGTTCTTCATTAATCTTGGGCCGTGATTCCTGCAATGTCTCCATCTCTTTTTCGATGTCTTCGGTAGCTACGTCGATTTCGGCTTCCTTGGTTCTGAGGTCTGCGAGAGCGTTGACCTTATCGGTATGGTCAATCTCATCGCGCTACAGTCATTAGCGCTTTGAAGAAGTATAATGCGGGATGAGATGCAACGCTGCTCGCGATGAACTTACAGCACGTGAAGCGATACGCGGTGGCAGTAACACAAACGGTTTACCAAGTTCAGGCGAAGCTGACATCAGTCGTGCAACCCCATCTGGGTCACTCAGAAGGGTGGCGGACATTGATCGCGACTCCCTCACGGGTATCTGCGACTCTGCATGCTTCTTGAACTTGATGCAGACGCTTTTCAATGCGTCGAGTAGGCTCTGGCCGATACGAATGTCGACCTGTAGTTCCACGGTACCACCCTCCTGGCACTCCATACTAGCCAACTTCTCCAAGAAATAGTATTTTGCGAGAGCTTCGTACTTGGCCTTAGAGCTTCGTTTCGGTGTCTTGAATGCCGGCGCGACTTCTGTCGTCACACTGCAGATATTTTGCTTGTCAAACCTGAACGAAGTATCGCTGATAGCGTCATAGGAGTGGAACTCTACCGCTGCAGCACCATCGTCCTCAGCAGGCGGATAAAATAACACCCAGATCTGTCCTGGACGACCTGTCGACTTGTCGTGGACAGTACCGAAAAGGAGCATGAATGGTATCGCTTGTGGCTCATAGGACTGATGTGCAGTAACAACGCGATTGAGGGGGGCGTGGGTCAACGTAGACGCGCCATCTTCTCCCAGCAGCTTTCGGAGTCGAGCCAGATTGGCTGATGCGCTCGCCATTTTGTGAGGCCTATTAGTGTTGTCAATGAAACGGCCAGCTGAGAGTGATGTTTGTAATACTTGAAAGGACGTACCTGTTGTTGGTGCCGACTCTGAGGCTCCATGCTGCCGTTACGATGAGGGGAAGTTATTTGACTAGAGCATCGGGAACATCGACGAAGACGCGTCGAAGAATCGCGAAATCACGTATACGTCATGGCAAACACCAATTATAGTGGGGATCATATATCCTGCTGCCTGATACGTTGCAAACGCCCTGATGTCACGTGTAAGTTTGCCACACGGTGAACGATGACCTAGGTGGGCTGACTTATCTTAGCGTTCCAGTATTACCACTCGCTACCTATCTCACCGCTTACATTAGGTATTCACAATCATCGCATTTGAACTTACGGCATTCCTAACTGATCTTACGCAGATACACCTTAAGCCTGGCCCCACCTACACTGCACATAATACCTGGGGACTGCAATCCAAAAAATCGCTTCTGCTGTCACTATGGAAACACGCCATCTAACTCATTACTCATGGGGCAAGACTCCATCAATATTCCCTTATCAGTACCCACCTAGGTACGGATTTCCTTGTTTCTCTTCTTCTTCCTCTGGTTCATCACTTATCATATCAACGATCTCCTTCAGCTTCCTGTTGATTCTCTGGGCCATCATCTCGTGCTCCGCCTTCATCTTCTCATGCTTTGCCATCGCCTTCTCATGGTCCGCCATCATCTCCTTCAAAATATTGGCTTGTGTCACTCCGAGCTCCTGCACATGCTTGATCTTCTGCTTTATGCCCGGCTTCTTCTCAACTCTACCACTGAGTGTCTTATGCCCCGCCTTCGAGATCTTCTCTGCGGGCAAATCGGCGCTATTTGATGTTGTTCGATGTTTGTTCATGGGATTGGGGTCTGTTGGGGTCCGCTTATCCTCGCGCTCACGACGTCGCTGCATATCCCGCGAACGCAGACTGAACGCAGATGAGGAAGGTCGAAGCGCTCCATGACGGCTTTGAGAGGGTGGTCGTGTTATTCCGGTCTCCAATTCGAGATTGTCTTTGACCATCTGTGTCTTTGAAACCTTTGTGGCGGTGCGGCCAGTATCCGACTTTCTGCCTGATTCTGGCAGATTATCTACGTCATAGGCTCCAGAATTGCTAACAGGACGATCCGTGGGCTGGCGCCGCTCAAAAAAGAAAGACACATGCTTAGCAGGGTTCTTGCCCTTTTGCATCTTACCTCGGTCGTCAGCATTCTCTTCGACTTCAACTTCGTACATGCTGCGGAAGTGTCGAGCTTGATTGTCACGAGATCTAACATCGATGTCTTTGTCCTCTTTCATTTCGTCTTCGATAGCACGCCGTTGAAGCCACTGCTGAGACTTTGGAGTTTTAGAAGTCCTTGCGTCAACTCTATGTCGGCCCCTTCTGATGGAGTTGTCAGACAGATCTTCCAAAATTTCCCCAGATTCCAGAGAGCTCTGAGAGATTGGATCCCGGTCGTGGTCGTCTACGATATCATCTGTGTCGTCGATTCCAGGGTGTGACTTGGTCGTCGCAACACCAGGACGATGAGCGTAGCCTGCTTGTCGACGATGATCTGGGGCTCTCGGGTATAGCTTTGGACTCTTATCTTTATCCGTGTAGAAGTCGTTCTCCGAACTCGCAACTGAACAATAATCTGGGTCATATCGATTGCAAACGGCTTTTAGCTTATCAATGAAAGTCCGATTGATAGGTATGAAGTCATGTGTGAGCCCCTGGTGTTTGGCCTCGTTGGCTAGCAGGTAGTAGTACTTAACAAGCGCATACAGCTCCATTGCGCTGCTCGCTTGATTGAAGGGCTGAACAAGATCGACCCTACCTAGTGCGATATCATCTTTCCAGGTGACTTCAACTAAGTCATGGCCGCGATCGCGTGTCTTTTTAACTTCCATAGACAGGTTCGGTCCGATGTTCGGGTTCAAGTTGGGAGTCAAGTACGCAAGTACCGAATTACGCCATTTTTTCATGTCTGTCTGACCATATTTACCGATTTCGATACATAGGCGGGCATAACCCCCAGTTGCGGGCTTGGAATGCGTTGAAATTTCCAGGGTTTTCCAGTCGGGTAGCTGAGCAAGCATCGTCTGTTGAAACTCCTTACGCAAACTCTGTAGAGCATCAGGGCCTGCACTTGCGAGGGCTTGGCGATTTGATTTGATTTCTTTAACCCCTTCGTTTTTTTCGCTTTGGATCTCCTTGTTGCCTTCGTCTTGATTGCTTCTCGCAGCGATGACCATGGCCTGAGGAATGGGCCCAGTCACTCGAGCAGGCTGGTATTGCGAGCGGCGGATAACTCCATTAACTTGCACCTCATGGTCTGGGACTATAATATTGTCGAATTTGATCCCATCTGAGGAGGTGCTCGATTGAGATGCGTCTCGGGGGGCATTGTAGCGATCTCGTCGTCTTGGAACCCTCGAGGAAGCCATTGCGAAGTAGTCAACTTCAAGATGATGAAGCTGACGAGGATTAATAGTCGATTATATGGGGTATAATGGGGGCTTTACCTAATCCTAAGTGCGTCTCCTTTTCTTTGATCCGCAGCAATGATCTGCTCTTCTCAAGTTGATTATCCGTCTGGAAGATCGAGATCGGTGGTGTGGTTGATGGTGAGCGGATGTATTTATTGCGAATGGAAAACATACAAATTATATAGCTAGAGGGGTTAGGAGCTAGGGCAGGGGTGCGGCAGTTGGCCACTTGGTGCGATCCGTGCGGGTCATGTGGCAACATGATTTCATAGTCTTTCACTTCCGTCACTACCACCCTAGAAGAAATGCGCTTCACTCATGGTCCTAGCGCCGCTCAGGTGATCGCGGTTCCAAGCTCATAAGAAATGTCGTAAGTATACATAACTAAACTAGATGCTCAGTAGCTGACAGTAAGCTCGTACCGTTGGTCTCTGAGTCGCATCGTGTACATCACTATTCCAGGACGCTGCTTTCCTGACTCGTTCCACCCGGTGAAGCCAGTTGAGATAGAGACGTGAAAGTATCATGTAAGTAGCCAGTGATATACCAGACAAGTCGTCCAGGCATGGAAAGGGCAGACGAGCTTCCAAGCATGAGCAGTCTCAATGTAGATGAATATATCCCTTATGGATAAGGCTTATGGCAGTCTACTGGGAAACTTGCCTCCAGTGATCAAGCACAAGTATATCGCGACCAACCTGTTGAGCCAGATCTGGTCACGCTATACATACAAGGCTGAAGCTTTATAGATCCCGTGTCAAAGGACAAATTCATTTCATTTACTTTTCCCTTTTCAGTGGTATTGCGTGAAGCGCGCAACGTTGCTGTATGACAACTCATGTAGGTATGATGAAAGTCTCTTTTTGTACTAAAGAGTATTTCATACACAATGTGTAAGAATCGACACATCTGGGTATATCAGGTAAATTCCTTCCGGGAAGGCTATCGATATCCATCACTTTGACGCATGTATATTTGCTCATATCACCATTTTGATTTCATGAATACTTATAAGAATGCGATTATTGTACAAGGAACACTCAAAGGAAAGGGAAGCGATCGATTCTTGGTAACAAGGATGGTTCAGGGGGGCTAGGTTACCCAGTCCGCCAGCACTGTACAGCTAGCTCTCTAATATGCTCGCCCTTTGCCGCTTACCAAAGCTGACAAGTTGGCTCTTTGACCTTGCACTGGAAGCTTTCCCTAAACTCCCGGGAGTTTGCCATCGTACCCAGAATTCTTGCCCACTTTGGTGCGTGCGGGTCCGTGTAGATCCAGTTAATCGCCGTATCCTTCCGTGTCTTACCGCACCACCAGTTGCCGTAGTTGACAAAGAACATTTGCTCTTGGGTAAAGTGGTCAAGGCCTGGAAGGTTCTTGTTGCGCGTCTCGCCTGACCGACGCTTCCAGGCTTGGAAAGAAGCCGATAGACCGCCTGCGTCGGCAATGTTCTCGCCAAGTGTGAGGCGTCCGTTAACGTGCAGTGGCTTGTCATCTGGGCCTGGAACTGTGAAATTGGAGTACTGTTCGACAAAACATTCGGTCTTCTTCTTGAAGGCGTCGATCGTACCCTTCGACCACCAGTCTGTGTAGTTACCGTTCTGGTCGTAGTGTCGACCGGTGCTGTCGAACGCGTGGCTAAGCTCGTGACCGGCGACGGAGCCAAAAGCGCCGTATGACATGTAGGCAGGGACGTTGACGTCGAAAACGGGAAACTGCATGATACCCGCGGGGAAGACGATCTCGTTTCCAGGAGGGTTGTAGTATGCGTTCACTATGAAAGGATCAGTACATGCACCGTAAGCGACGAAAAACTAGCCACTCACCTGTTGGGACAGTCATTCCCCACTGATCACGATCGACAGGCTTGCCGAGAGCGGACCATTCATCTTTAACTGAGAAGCGGCGCATTGCGAGCGCATTGGCAAAGAACGCATCCGAAGAGATATTAACAGGCTCGTAGTGGCTCTCGAGTGTAGGGGGATCCATGATATCGGGGCTTTTGGTGGGGTATCCAATCTTCTGGACAATGTTGTGGACCTTCTCAACAGCCTTCCTCGTCGTATTATCATCCATCCATTCAGCAGCGTTCAGCTTCTTTGCGAACTCCGTTTTGATATCCGTGATAATGGTATCACCAAAGGTTTTCGCTTCAGCCGAGAACGCCTTTTCGACAAAGAAACGGCTCAAAATCCATCCTAGGCCGCCGTCTACGTGTCTGACACAGCTGCGCCATCGCTCGGGGGCAGAATCGGGATCCTAGACATGTCAGTGAGAAGGCTAGTACTAGTAGTTGATTGGAAGAGAGAACGTACCTTGCCAGCGAGCATGTTGACAAAGCGGCGGTAGGGCTTGACAGCGTCCGCGTCAACATAAAAGGAGAAGGACTGTACGGCCTTCCAGAGGAAGTAGCTCTGTAGTACATCCGCAGGTGTAGCAGCGAGAATGGTTGACAGATCCTTGAGGTACTTTGGAGTCATTACAATGACGCGCTCAATCTTAGTATCCTTGGGAGCTTGGCCGGCAAGGAATGCCTTGAGTTCGATTTCTGGAGCAATTGCAGCCGCTTCATCAATGAGCATAGGGTTGTAGTACTTCTACAAGTTTGTCAGTCCTGCATATATGAAGCAGTGGGCTGGGGGATTGTGGGGTGTATGGGCTCTTGGGGTGAGAGGTCACGACGACTACATCTGGGAGCATGCAAAGGTCGTAACAGAGTGACTTACTGTAACGTCCTCACGGTCTTCTTCGCTCGGAGATGCAGCTGCAAGCTTCTTTTCAAGATCGATGATACCCGAAAAGGTATTCTTGTTTTGATCTGGGTATAGAGCGCTCAATACTTCGATGGTCATCTTGCGATACTGCTCAACTAGCTTCTCGTCCTCGTAGCGTTCCTTCGATGGCAGGCCAAAGCTGTAAGGTGCACTAACAGACACGACAACAGTGTCCGGGTCAGTGTCATCGGCGCCAGTACCAGCTGTAACAAGAGCTGTTACGCCATACTTGGCCAAAAGAAGGATTGCGTCCTTGATCGACTGCTCGGAGTCGGTTGCGGCAGCTGGGTATGTATTCTTGATCTCATCTAAGACCTTCATGAGTGGCTCAGCGCCGATGCTCTTGATCTTGTCTTCATTAAGACAAGCGTCGTATGCAGCTTTCATCTTGTCGAAGTTCTTCTCATCCGCTGACTTCGCAACTGTCTTTAGTTGCATGGGTGAAAAGTAAGAGTGCTACAAGGATTAGAGAATGCCATGAGAGTAATCCATTCAGTCCTTACTTGAGAATCCTTCGGGTATGGCGCCTCAAGAATGTGGCGAAGCAGCATCTGCGAGTTTTCGGACATGATGGTCCCCGTGAAGGCATCACCTTGGTCTGCGCGGAGGTCATGGCGATCTCTCCAGCCGCCACATACAAGCTCCTCAAAGTCATCGCATGGGTCAAGCTCTTTGTATTGAGGAGAGAGGTTGTAAAGAATTTCGGACGCCGCATGCACACAGGCTGGGGTTAAGCATAGCTCACTTTCATCCTCGAAAACGGCAGTAGGCTCGTAACCCACTGCAAACGCGTTAGTCACGACACATAGCTATTCAGTTCATGAACGGACCTTGTGGAAGGCCATAGAGAACAATAGAAGCTGTCGCGGCGATGGCGAACAGCCTTCCTATAGCTTGACGTTTGGGGTGGCGGTGCATCGGGTCTGGCTGCACCCTTGCAGGGGCAGACGCGATGAGCTGCGCCTTCTCGGACATATCGATATACTGGTGATCTTGTCTCGGTAGTTTGTCTTCAATTGGAGGTGGCAGCTAGAGATGAGAGAGACGATATCAGCCAGCTGAGCACCCAGATGGGATGATGAAGGAGAAGGAGCTGCTGATGGCGATGCCTAGATGCGGAGATCCGGGGTGCAGCTGACGCTTGTTGTCGCGGAAACGCTAGTGCGGGACCTCGGGACCTTGCAGGCGAATGACTCGTGCATTTTCGATGTCATCCATGGATATCGCCTTTCATCGACCGCTCATCATCGGATACCACTGTCTCAGCATAGTTTCATCTAGCGGAACTAGCGACTAATCTCGTTGAGTGCAACCAAACGGGTCTTCCAAGTATCTTACTCCGACGGATATTTCCCTCAGGCGTCAGGTATTATTACTAATGTCGGATCGTGAGTATCGGTAGAGACGTCGGCTGCTGGACACTTCGGCCCGACTTCGGCCCACCTTGCGCAAGAGCTTAGGTATACCTTCGTAGCACCTATGTTCGTAGATATCAATTAGAACCACCGAACAGAATGCATTCCTAGTTATCGTTATTTCCCTTTACGCACTTAGTGCAAAGCCAACCAACACTGATCAGTGATTGCTTGAGGCGATCACAGACAGCAAGGAAGAAGAGACAGACCGCATCTTTGACAGCCTCCCTAACGCACGACGTTATACTCCTGAGAGAAGATTCTGTGCTAAGAACAGAGCGAGGCAGAGATAACGCATAGCGATCAAAACCTCCCTCTAAGCTGCTAATCCAGGCCGAAGCTCGATTACAGCGCGTCAGCAACGCACAAAGACACACTGTTGAAATCCCGACGCGAGAAGTCTTGGGACGACTACAGCACGTCAGCAGCGCAGAGCGACAGACTATTGATATCCCGACGCGAGAAGTCTCGGGACGACTATAGTGCGTCAGCAACGCGTAGCGATTCCGTACGAGCGTCCCCGGACGATCCTATCACGTACAACCACAAGCGCTGGAACCGACCAACCAGCTAGACAAGACAAGGCAACGCGTCAATATACACCGGCACGATGGCAGGCAGCCAGAGCAACTCTGGCGATACAGACGCTGATGTTCAAGAGCAACTACTCAACTATCCATCCGAACGCAATACAAGCAAGCGCGCAGAAACTATATCCCCAGGAGCGAAGTTTACTGCTGAACACCTTATGCGACACTGTCCATACACAGTCACGTTTGACTATATCAACCCATCTCTCTGGGGTGTACCCGCACCAGAGGATGCAGACGAGACGCACGCAACAACCTGGGTCGCGAAGGCTATCCACGACTACCATGTAGGAATGGAATGGGATGAGAGACTATACTTCGACTACCAATGGGACTTTGAAGGATGGACACGAGAGCTATTCCAGAAGGTTGAGCGCACTACGCTAAGATCTCTGAAGACTGTGCTCCGGTATAGGGGAGTCTATACAGGCAAATTTCGGGCTAGAGTAGCTGATTCCCTCTTCAACTTACTAGGAGGAGAAAACGCTCCCGAATGGGACCCTGCAGAGTTCAAGGCCGAGAAGTTTGACGAACGTTCTGAGGCGTACCAGCGTCAGCAGAACGCACATCTAGCAGCCCCTATAGATAGACAAGCGCAGCAGCCACTGCAACAGACGCAGCCACTGGAACCGCTACAGCCGCAGCCACAACGTCCGTCACAGGGCGAGCAGTATAGAGTGAGACAAGGCGTTCGAAGCCACCCGCAATATCAAGAGCTACAACAACCGCCCTACGCGATCAATGCCTATGCAGGACCACAGCCTCGACAAACGGAGCAGGCTATGCAACCACAACAATGGTACCCGCAGACACAGACACGACCCCCAGCGACCGCATACCGCGAGGTGACACCTTTCCCTCAGCAACCTACAAACCGAGTACCTGACAGACCCCTTGGCCTACCACATGACCCGTACAAGACGCTACCGCCGCGATGGTCTCGCAACGATCGGCTCGAAGCCAATACGATCACGCAGTTCTCTAAGCTATGGGACAATAGCAACAAGTATACAGGGAATGCGTACGATCTCCTAGACGATAAGATTAAGATCTTCTTCAGCATCTGCTGGCAGGTAGATATCCAGGAGGAGCAGTTTCACGCAGTGTTTCCCCGTATCCTTACCGGGCGTGCAGAGACGTTCTACATACAGGTTGTAGAGAGAGATGATAGCTTTGCTGATGCGTACATGGCAATCAAAAACCACTTCGACCATGACGTCCATCACCAGCACTACTACACAGACTGGACGACTACAACCTTCGCTCGCACCCGCGCAGAGAACCCTGATAAGGGACTACACGAGGTTCTGCAGATCCTGCTTGACAAGCTGCAGCTATGCCAGCGTGCCCTTGGCAAGAACTTTGAGGGTGAGGATGCCCTCCGCACTACGGTCATCAATGCCTGCCGAGGAGTACCAGAACTTGAGATGGCACTGTTCAAGCCAGCCACAATCTGTGAAGGACTCTTCTCAGATCTACGATCCGCAGTGGAAACACACCTAGCACGGCAACACACCGCCCAGTTGGTCACAGAAGATCAATACTACCTAGACCGCCGATACAACGGCAATGGAAGGATCCGAGGTGGATCTCGAGGTGGAGGAGGATTCAGAGGCGGATCCAGAGGAGCATACCGAGGAGGCGAGCAGCGCGACGACAACGGACGAGGATTCAAGCCACGTTGGAGGAAGAAATGCTTTGTTTGCCGGAAGGAAGGATGCTGGTCTACCAACCACACAGATAAAGAGCGCAAAGATGCCCGTGCGCAGTTCTTCTCTACGCTATACTTTACAGGTGCACAGCCCCCTGAGGACTTCTCCGTACATCTTGCAGAATACGAAGGGATCGAGCACACCAGCCAGTACAATCAGAGAGGCTGGAGAGAGGAGGAAGACTGCGAGGATGACGAGGATGACGACGTCGCGGAAGCACATTCTGAACACCAGTTCTTCAAGGAGCAATGCCTTGCAGACCAGGCGTTCTTGCATCATATCTCGGGCGACGACATATACAGCCGAGACGCGCCGTCAGCACCAGCATCGCAGTTCCTGCTTGAGGACCGCTACACACGATCTGTGTACCAAGGAATCCTACCAGATACAGGCGCTGCAAACGTATCCACGGTCGGCAAGGAGCAATACCTCGCACTTACGAGAGAAGATCCGACGGTTAAGTTAGACACATCTACAGCAGGGAAAGCGTCTATTAAATTCGGAAAAGGCGAGGCTACAGCGTCGATTGGCACCGTGCAGGTCTCTACGGAGATCGGAAAAATCAACTTCGAAGTGCTCGAGGCGCCTACGCCGTTCTTGCTATGCCTTGCAGACATGGACCGCTTAAAGGTATACTTCAACAATACGACAGACGAGCTGGTTCAGGATGACGTACACATCCCGGTGATTCGCAAATGGGGACATCCTTGGTTCCATCTAAACAAGAGAGAGAGAGCAACTATGTTCCTAACGGAGACAGAATTGCGACGGCTCCATCGACGGTTTGGACACCCAGCTGTTACGCGACTAGTCAAACTCTTAAAGGATGCTGGCCATAACGACTTCGAAGAAAGAACCCTAGAAGAAGTCACTAAGTTCTGCCACCACTGCCAGCTCCACAGCTCCGCGCCGCGCCGATTCAAATTCACTCTTAAGGATGATCACCACTTCAACTATGAGATCCTGGTGGACGTAATGTACCTAAGCAACAAACCTGTACTGCATGTGGTCGATTCCTCAACAGCGTTTCAAGGCGCGAGGTTCCTCAGCGCTATCTCAGCTAAAGAAACATGGCAAGCACTGCGGATACTATGGATCGACACCTACCAGGGACCACCCGACATCATCACGCATGATGCAGGTACTAACTTCGCGAGCGCAGAGTTCCGCGCAGAAGCAAAGATCATGGGAGTCACATGCAAGCAAGTACCTACGGAGGCGCACTGGTCTATCGGCAAAACTGAGAGGTACCATGCCCCTCTACGCCGGGCATGGGACATACTCCATGCAGAACTCACTGACACTATGTCCGACGACGCGATTCTCCAGATGGCTGTGAAGGCTGTTAACGATACTGCTGGCCCTGATGGACTAGTCCCGACGTTACTAGTCTTTGGAGCGTACCCACGAATGACTGCAGAGTCACCGCCATCACCATCAATGGTCAAACGCAGCGAGGCTATTCAAAAGGCGACGAAAGCCCTGCGCAAGCTCACTGCAGAGCGCCAAGTTGCAGACGCCTTGAACACCCGCAATGGACCAGCCACTGCAGACATGCTCGCGCTCCCACTCCAGAGCGAAGTCTTAGTATGGAGAGAGAGTGATGGCTGGAATGGCCCGTACAAGATCGCCAGTACAGATGGCCACAACATCACTGTCGACATGGTTAATGGTCCAGCGACATTCAGATCAACTGTCGTTAAGCCATACTACAGACCAGACCACCTGTGGAGCGACCCTGATGCGCCACACGCGCCGAATGAGCCGAATGAGCCGCACGAGCCGATAGCAGTACCTCCGGCAGCGCAACCACGTAGAAGAGGCCGCCCTCCAGGGTCAAAGAACAAGCGGAAGGCGCACGCGTACATCACCAAGAAGGAGCAGGACGATCTTGAGCTAGCTATCAAGCTACGGAACGATGGCGTGATCACAACCTCAGGCGCCCCCTTTGAAGCGTCTGATGACCAAGAGATCAGCGACCTAGTAGGTCGTGGAGTCTTCAAGTTTGAGCAATACGACGAGAGGCTACACAGCAAGATCCGGATCTTTAAGTCACGCCTAGTACGTGAGGTCAAGGGAAAGACAACTAAGCCTTATGAGAAATCCCGTCTGGTTATCCAAGGCTACCAAGACTATGGCAAGGAGGCTATCTTAACGCAGTCGCCAACCATCCAGCGATGTAGCCAGCGCCTGATTATGTCGCTGGCGCCTGGGCTAGTACAAAGCGGCATGAGCGTTGAGCTACGTGATATTACGCAGGCATACCCACAGGCTCAGACAACACTGAAGAGGACGATACTCGCACACCTCCCTACCGAGCTGGTACATCGATATCCAGAAGGCACGATACTCCACGTGATCAAGCCACTATATGGGATCGCGGAGGCAGGAGTCCACTGGTGGACAACATATCACGGACACCACTGCAAGGAACTAGATATGTCAACATCTACGTACGACCCATGCCTGTTGATCACGAACAGCGACGACGCAGACGTCTTCGGCATCGTCGGTATGCAGACAGACGACACCCTCATGCTCGGAACGACCGCGTTCTTATCACGCGAAGAGAAAAAGATCCAGAAGGCGCAGTTTAGATCAAAACCAAAGGCTATGCTGACACCAGAGGTGCAGTTAGACTTTAATGGATGTACACTTACGATGGACGCCAGCAGAGTCTTAATCCTCAGGCAGAAAGGACAAGGAGGAAGGATCAGGCTTGTTGATATTAGGGCACCCGACCGCGCGCAACAGTACACCGAGCAACGCGCCCGCGGAGCGTACATCGCATCAACATGCCAACCAGAGGCATCATTTGATCTGTCCGTAGCTGCTCAAGCGCAGCAACCCATCAGACGAGGACATTAAGGCACTCAACAAGCGCTTGAAATGGCAGATGGAGAATCTCACTCGTGGCCTACGCTACGTCACTGTCAACCTTACGGAGGCTAAGTTGATAGTCTTTGTAGACGGCTCCTTTGCCAACAACAAGGACCTCAGCTCACAGCTAGGCTTTGTCCTCATGCTCGTCAACGAGTCCATTGGCGCCAACACCTTCACAATACAAGGCAACGTGATCCACTACAGCTCTACAAAGTGCAAGCGCATCACACGGAGCGTACTGGCCTCAGAGATCTACGGCATGGTCAACGGCTTTGACATAGGCATCGCGGTTGCAACCACGCTAAGGATAGTTACAGAACGACTTGGACTACCTGCAATTCCCTTGGTTATCTGTACAGACTCGTACTCCTTGTACGAGTGCCTAGTAAAGCTTGGGACAACGAAGGAGAAGCGCCTCATGATCGATATTATGGCGCTGCGCCAATCATATGAGCGTCGCGAGATCACGGAGATCCGCTGGATCAATGGCGAAGACAATCCTGCAGACGCCTTCACGAAGGCATCGCCAAACCGCGCTCTTGAACGCTTTATTGACGGCAATAAGCTGACAGTCCGAGTAGATGGATGGGTGCAGAGGCCAACAAGCTTTGATGTTTAATGCTATACACTGTCACTACCGATACAAGCAGAGTTACTAGCTATCCAGAAAGAAAAGACTTCCAGTGTCGGATCGTGAGTATCGGTAGAGACGTCGGCTGCTGGACACTTCGGCCCGACTTCGGCCCACCTTGCGCAAGAGCTTAGGTATACCTTCGTAGCACCTATGTTCGTAGATATCAATTAGAACCACCGAACAGAATGCATTCCTAGTTATCGTTATTTCCCTTTACGCACTTAGTGCAAAGCCAACCAACAACTAACAACATTTGCGCAATTGGATTTGTTATTCATATTGAACAAACGAAATGAATACTACCTTGACTAAAATTTGCTAAAAGCAAACGAGTACTAGTGGTCTATTTCCATTCTCCAGAACTATGATTTAAGCCGAGTATGACGTCTATGCTGTAGTATGTCACGTGGCCATGGTGGGATTTGTGGCCTCAAAACCAGCTACTTTTCACTAAAAAAAGCCCTTAGATGCATTTACTAATCGGTATTGGAGCTTTTCTATATCTTAGATTATTTCTTAGTTCGTATATCCAACGATCATCGTGGTCACATCAAGTACCAGACACAAAATGCAAAAGAAAACGCAATCTCTTGGAAGAATATGTGGTCCTGTTGAGAATATCTGAGTTCAGTCCAGGGTAGAAGGTGCTTGGGAGTCACATGATATGCTGCTGTGGCAGGCACTGCCCGGTGGGCAATAGCACCCACCACAACAGAGTGAGTCTGCGACACTCAATACGATAGTCAATACAATACGTTGCAGCCACCCCGCCTTGTCCCTCCTCCCACTCGGTTATCCATAGTAGTCATACTACTAGAGGGACCTTGTTCCAATAGGTCCATTGTTATTCGTAAATGCGCCATACAGGTGCAGTTATTTGCAAGTTCTAAATATCACTGACTTCTACCAAGCAATTATGTTTCTTACTGCGAAAACGGCACTGCTGGGAGCCGCAACTTCCATCTTCGAACAGTTTAGCACAGGATCACCAACAAGAAACAGATGTCGATTTGTTGGGGTTGTGACCCGGTAAGTTAGTTACGTTTACCTCAGCTGTTTTCTCGTGGGTGGCGCTATCGGCATTCTTGGAAAACTTATATGTACTGCACAACCACAAATCCACCACTCGATAATTTGATTTTGTGCAACGTACTCTTATATCCTGACCACAAATCTTTTCTGTCTTTTCCCCACATCAATATGACTTTGGATTTTTTGCAATACGGCGGGCCTTCCGAGGAATGGCTGGCCGTTGAAAAGACTCTCCCTGCATTAACATTCGACCTCTCGATGGACCCCGTGGCCCTCAGGACTGCGGTTAATTCTGAGCGTGAAATTAGAGCATCCGAGGTGATGGAGCTTCTCGCGCCTCAAGTTCATTTCAAGAATTATACTATACCCACCCGCGACGGCTCGACCGTTGAAGCTCGAACCTACCGGTCCGTAGAGAAGGACGCAACCGAGAAGCTTCCAGTATACATTTATCTACATGGTGGGGGCTTCATTTTCGGCACACTGAACACGGAAGACCCCCTATGTGCCCAAACAGCTATTAATACCGGCGCTGTGGTGCTGAACGTCAACTATCGACATACGCCTGAACATACCTTTCCCACTGTCTGGCATGATTCTCAAGACGCGTTCGCCTGGCTGCACAGTAACATTAACTCCATCGGAGGTGATTCATCGAAAGTTGTTGTAGGCGGAGTCTCGGCAGGTGGTCAGCTGGCAGCTTCCCTCGCACTAGAACAGCATTTAGGAAAGAGCGAGGTCACCAAGCACCTTCCGAGACTGGCTGGTCAAATCCTCATCATCCCTCCCCTCGCTGCCTTGAGTACATACGATCAAGGCCCCGGTAAGAAGCTCAAGTCGTCGTCGCACATCGAAAACGAACACGCCCCGATTTTGCCAAAGAAGACGATGGAGTTCTTCACGTCTCTTTTGAAAGCCGGTGATCCAGATTTGAAAGACACTAAGCTCAATATAGTCAATGCCACTGAAGAAGAGGTCAAGGGCTTCCCACCTACGGTGTTTGGTATCGCTGGTCTGGATCCACTGCGCGATGAAGGGTTGCTGTATGCGAAGCTGCTTTCAGAGGCAAATGTCCCAACCGACATAACGCTGTTCAAAGGCGTTCCGCACGGTCACAGACGATTTGGCAAGGCACTAAAGTCATCTGAGCATTGGGATAAGTGCGTCGAGGAGGGGATCCTGTGGGTGCTTTCGAAACCACAAGCTACTGGGAAGTTCGAAGTTAAGTTGCCATAGAGTGTATATGGAGAATCTGGAATAACAGGAGCTATCGAAAACCGTGATAAAAGCAAAAAATGAGCGGCTGATGATTTGTAACAGCTTTGGGGCAGTGCTTCGCATACTTGCCCAATGACGTCGAAGCGCTATCTATGGAAGTACAAAGCGGGTCATCCAGCGCTCTTGCCAAACTTGAGCCTGATCACCTTTACAACACCACCAAATCCCCTCTGAAGTGCTTCTGGTGGCCTCGTCTTTACGCAACTTCACCTCGCCTTGCCCTCTGATCAGCAATGAGCTCCCTTGAGAATCAGTGATAGCATTTCCACTTCCTACCAAGCGATCCAAGTTTGAGATGACTCCAATACCCACAACGCATCCATGAGACTCCTTCACATGAAACCCGGGGTCGATGCCGACAGCTCTCCACATATCTCACTATGTGAGTTTCTTGGCAGCGATGTCCCTCCCTATATGATTCTTTCGCATCGCTAGCGTGAAGAGGAGGTCCTATACGCCGATTTGACAGCACCGGACCGGGTTACTGCGCGAGCGAAGGGGGGATATGAGAAACTGGACGGAGCTTGCCAGACAGCACTTGCCAAAGGGCTTTCGTACTTGTGGGCCGACACCTGCTGCATCGACAAGTCTTCCAGTGCCGAGTTGTCTGAAGCTATTAATTCGGTGTACAGCTACTATGCCAATTCAGCTTTGTGCATTGCTTACTTCGACGCCGTGGAGTCAGATTCCCAATCGAATTTTTTCCTGGGAGCCTTGTGGTTCACGCGAGGATGGACACTACAAGATTTGATGGCGCCAGAGCATCTGATATTCTACTCAAAGAGTTGGAAGGAGCTAGGGAATAAAGCACGACTATCATACCAGGTATCTTCGGCTTCTGGTATAGCTGAGGCAACGTTACTGGACCGCCACTTCATCGACAAGATAGGCATATCAGAAAAGATGTCGTGGGCTGCACAGCGCACCACTACACGACCCGAAGACGAAGCTTAATCTTTGATGGGTATCTTTAGGGTAAACATGCCAACTCTTTACGGAGAAGGCAGAACCAATGCCTTCAGAAGATTACAGCTCGAGATCATGAAGAATTCAACGGATCATACCCTCTTTGCCTGGCATTCTGACCAAATCACTGGCGACATGCTAGCTCCAAATGCGTCCTGCTTCCGCGCTGGCGCAGATTACAAGCCCTGTTCGTACTCTACAGATCTATTGGGGAGCCAGGATTTGATGCCTAATTACGATATGACAAATGCCGGAATCCGAATACAACTGCCCGTTCATTTTGTACCTGGACATGATGATCTATTCTTTGCGATCCTTACTTGTTGTAAAAAAACAAGATCGGTTGGCTGTATAAACCACTACTACTGCGTCTATTCCAGCCCGGACTGGTTTCAGAGTGAGCATGCAGATTATGGCTATATGCATCCAGTTCCAAGCGGGCTCCTCCAGCTTTCCTCGTTTCAGCAGAAGGATTCTTGACGAAAAGAATATTCTCTGCTTGGATCCTTATGCTAATTTAGTTACGCCAACTAACTTCACTTTGCACCCCATATAGATACACCCGCACAAGTCTGTAGCTACTAATTACGTCTCTTTCACACCGGAGTTTGTTAAAGCCGTGAGATATAACGTATCTATCAGTTCAAGCGAGTCCTGGGAACACGTTCTTATAAGGTGATATTCCCAGATTTCCACAGCCCATCCGCAAGTGCCTGTCGAAGACTTTCTCCCCTCAACGGGGGGAAACCCTCTGCCTGTCTAACAGAGACTGATAGGCACCATACCTTACACGAGTCGTGAGAGACATCAGGTCATTGTACTAGAAAGATCGCCGCTCTAAGACGTGGAACTGGCTTTCGGTCTCGTAGACAAGAAGATATGGGTGTCCGCATACATTCCTCAACCCAAAAGCTTCAAGAACAGGGACTCCTTTGACGAATACATATTCCCTACCAGCCAACGCTGGGTTACTGCACCTCGGATTACGTCTGTTCTTTTTGTCTCACCGGAAAAGTTTGGGAAGTTGCATAATATATATTTGCAAGTCAATACGATGTGGTGGGGAATTACGATTGTCGCAAACATGGAGCGACCAAATGAGATTATACTCAGTATTCACGTCATTGAGAGGAATTACACCTTTGGATACGTGTAACCATTGAAAGAAGTGTAAGTATTGCTTTCCCTGGATATCACAAACTGCACCAGAAGCCTAACTGCCCGTTCTCACTCACTCAATGGTCTCCAATCTGCTCAAGCGAATAAGTCATACACCTCTGCTAATTCGTACCATAGCCCTCTGATTCAAGCATCTATCCACTAAATAGGGCTTTCTTTGGAAAAGACTCCTGACTCAACATCTTGAAATAGTAACCATCCTAGCTCAATTTCTAGGGAAATGCAAACCGTAGCTCATTCTCAACCCACCACCTCCCTCTCCTCTCACACATCCCTCCATTCTTCTTCCGATGGCCATTTCACGAACATGGGGCCCTTGGTGCCCAGTCCGAGTCTCATACCAGTTTCCCCTTTATCTCCTGCATGAATTGATATATCCCAATTTTCGGCCAACGTTGCACGTGGAGGGCAAAAGAACTTCACGTTCGCCAAGCCATGTTCACCAAATCATGCAAAGGGCAGAGTCGCACGTCGACATTAATACTCAATAAATTAAAGAATAACGAGGGTATTAACGAAACGCTCATAGAGTTAAGTGATATGACAACAGCAACAACAAGGACATGTACCTCTAACAAACCTCCAAGAGCAACACTCCCCCCTTACTACTTACTTTCCCCACAAAGCGCTAAACGTGGTACTACTCTTCCTCCCACCCGCTGTGCCCTGCCTACTAGTACTCGCCCTACTTCTAGCCCTTGGCTGCTGTTGTTGCTTCTTCGTCTTCTCCAACCTCTTACAACTAACATCCGCCTTGACCATCATAAAGCTCTGATCAAACACATGGCCATTAGCATTCCCGCACCGTTCCAATGCAGGCGCGAGGGCAAGTTCTACACGTCTGCCTCGTATATTACTAGCGCCGTAGCCGTCATTCATATCATCGTCGTCATCATCGTATACGTCTTCCATTTCGCTGTCGTAGTATCCGTAGCCCCAGTACTGGTCCTTTTTGCCGCCGGTGAAGGTGACGAAGCGGTAGTCGGCGAGCTGGCGCTTCATCTTTAGATCAAGTGCTACTGAGGCAGAGACGATTGTGCTGAGTCGTTCTTTGCCTGAGCGCAGCGATTGTGTGGACCAAGGGCGTAGTTTGCGGCGCATGCGGCTGCAAAAGCGGGATATGCGTTTTAGGACGGGGGCAGCGTCGAAGGTGGGGCGCCATTTGCCGTCAACTTGGGGGACGAGGAGGTTTACGGTCATGGAGCGCCAAAGGTGGTATTCTTCGGCCTGGGCTTCGTTGCGAACGGCTGTGTATTGTTAGTGTTGTATACGGACGTATCGAGAGTGAAGACTGGTGTGTACCCTTCCGTAGCGTGTCGTTGATGTCACGCAGCTTCTTGTCGCCCAATTTACCCGCCCAGACGTATCCGCTGCCCTTGTTCCAATTGTTAAAGATCTTCTGCTGCAATTTCATCCATACATAGGCTTGTATGAGAAGTGGCCGCTCCTCCGGGTGCTTGAGGTATGTCTGGTAATTGTCCGTGAGATTCCCAAAGAGTTCCTTTGCTCTATGAAGATACGGTCGCTTGCTCGAGGCCTTGATAGGACCACTAAAGTACTCTTCGCTCCATACTCGTATCTCGTAGCGCAATGCCTGCAATTCCTCAATCAGCGCATTCTCTTCTGACCGGGCTACCATGGACCCTCGTGCGGGCATGCCGCTAACACCCACGCTCCGCCTTTGCAATTCCTTCCGCAGCGCGTCCCGCTCTTTTGTGACTTGATAGAAGCGCTGTATCAAGTCGTCCTGGCTGCTCCCTCTCGACGCGTCCGGCCGCGATGGGCTCTTGGGCGGTACTAGTGGACTAGCCTTTGCGCCCATCCGATTCGGGCTGGGCGACGTCGAGGTGGACCCAGCAGAAGACGTCTCGCCGGACAAGGCAGTGATCTTTTCGAAGTTGAGTGGTGGTATAAACTGGGGTTTCTTCCTCTGCCTGGGGATCAGGACTTCCTCATCAGACCATTCATCGCCCATATCGGGGAACGGGAAGCCTTGTTGCTCCATAATAGGCGAGTCGTCACTAGTCGATGGCGACGGCGGCTCTTGGATACCTTCGGCAGAGGGGCAGGTCAGCTTGAGAGACTTGAGCGTCGAGTCGCGAACGTCTACATGCGGCCCGGTCAGTGCGCTATTCCCAAGCTGCATCGACAATAGTCTCCCAACGCGCACACGTACCAGGTGATAGAGTCGCCATCTCAACGAGGAGCGATCATCCTGTCTTTGCTGGTATGCGCTCAATCTCGGTCCTGCAATGGGCAAAATCTGCGCGGTGCTCGATGTTACGCTCCGAAACCTTGTCCGCGCTCTCACACTTCACAGCAGCTGCCGGGAGTCTTACAGCGGGGCCGGCGGCGACAGTTGACAGCTGTAGATGAGACGTCGTGGGGACGTGAGGAGGTTGGTAGACAGCCCCTCTGCAGGCGACTGCACCCCCATCACGAACGAAAGCAAGCTTCAGTGTTCTCTTGGCCCAGCCTCGCCGCGATAGGAAGCCCTGGCGGTTGTGGTTGGACCACTCAGAGCCAAAAAGCCACGGGACGAGCTGCAATCACACGCACGTCTATGCAGCGCGGGGATTGATTGACTTTGGATGACTAAGTAAAGAAAGAGGCGGCTCGCGGGCGCCGGTTACGCTTACATACTAGCGCACACCTGTCACCCCAGAACGTGCCGGGTAATCTAGGGCCACGTTTTCCCATCTTGGTATCGGTATTGTGAAACCTCACTGCCATGATATGCTGAGGACGGCCGTTGTAATCGCAATGCTCAGTCGCCGCCGAATTCCTCGTGCTTGGACCAACGTGGGATGCTGCCTCCACGTTCCTTCAAACCTTGATCACACACTAGATCAGTCTAAAAATGTCGCCGAACACACTCAAACTCTGACGGTGGACGCCTCTCAAAGCATGTCCACGCAACTTCCAACGTCGTCACCCACCCGCTCGTAACCAGGTCATCCTTGCTTCATTGTAACAGAGCAGCAGCTTGCCTGCTGTTCACCTTGAGCCCGCTCCCCGTCTTCGCCCAACAATTACCCGGTGGTGATCCGTTCACATTGAACGACGCCGAAGTACACTTAGGTCCATCCTTTTGCATGTAGTTCCAGTTCGAACATAGCGCAATACAAGTATCCACGTCTACAACGAAAGCCTCGACGAGATCTCCTCCGTCCGTGTCAAAGCCGCAATACTTGATAAAGTTGTATTGGCCTGGATTACCGGCGGGAGTCTTGGGTGTAAAGGATGTGCCATTGCTCGAGGGGCAGTCTGTGGTCACCACAGAGGATAGATCGGACGTCGCCGAGGATGTTGCACTGCTCACAGTCCCCGTGCTGGCCGACACTGAACCTGTCCCCAAGCTTTCTACCGGTTAGCACAGATAGCGAGAAAAAGCAGACATGAAAACGTGTGTACCTCTGAGCCAACGGGCTGTTTCCTTTCGCCGCCCTGGAACCACCAATAGCTCCACCAACAGATGCACCGATTACAACCACGCTGATAACACCTATCACAAGCCAGAACAGCCATGGCTTGAGACCTCCAATTCTTTGTGGTTTCTGCTTCTCGGATTGATAGCTGTTTGCGACGGCATATTGATGACTCCACGCTTCCTTTCCTTCATCTTCGTGTTCTCTAGCATGCAGTCCCTCTTCGACGGGATGAAGGCCAACTTCATAGCTGCGCTCCGGTAGGTTTTCGTGCAAAGGTAGACGTGACATTTTGTCCACGAATATACAAGAAGTTGTTAGGCACCGTGGAATTTTAGTCCCGACTCTAAAGCATGGCCATGTAGAAGGGTATGAGTGCTTAACAGGGAAAGGGGGCTGGAGATGTTGCAGGACAAGACAGTGCCCCAATCCGAAGCGCCGGGCGAAGGCAGATTGTACAGAAAACGCCACAATCATTTGGGGGCCAAAGATTGCCAGGCCCTCGCAGACAGTGCCCCAATCCGAAGCGCCGGGCGAAGGCAGATTGTACAAAAAACGCCACAATCATTTGGGGGCCAAAGATTGCCAGGCAACAGACCCAGATCGAGAGCACCGTTATTCTTAGAGGAGGCGGGGGGCCATGCGGCGACGATGAGTTTGCGAGGTTGAAGGACATGGAAAAATCGGTGGGTTCAGGGCGCGACAATGAGTCAAATGTGAATCGAAAGGTGGGTTATCTGGTTGCGTTTGATAGGCCAAAGGGCGGACCAAAGGGCGGAGGCCGCTCGAAGGGCTGATGCGGTTGTGTGGTCGTCAATTGTGTGGTAGCGAGGCCACAGGCTCATCATATAAGGAGTCAGCGGAGGGGACCTGCCCATCTCCATCTCCATCTCCAACCGTTGTTCTTACAGTACCGCGATTCGTCTACCGACAAGATTCTATAATTATTGTCTACATCTGGTTACTCCATACTATCATATCGACCCATCTTTATCTTCACAATAATGCTCGGATATGTGTGCTGTTAGAAGACCTTGATGATGAAGGGGTTACAATAATACTAGAGGAAAGGGGTGCGCCCAGGCAAGCAAAAAAGGGGGCTGAAGACAGTTGTGGCGCATGCTGATGCTTCAGTATTTGTATGATGGGGGCCAAAAATATTACATCCAGTTCACTGCCATCTCCTTGCTTGCAGTGTTCCTTCTCTTCTGGCTCACTCATGTATGCTGAAGTTTGTCAGCCCATGTTTTTGACTTGGTCATATTGCTACGTCGATGGGTTTGCTCGTTTCGATCTTATACTTTCGAAAACTGCATGAAGGGGTGCCAGTAGTATACGCTGTTGTTCATAAGGAGGGGATTCGTGTCTCCTTGGAGCCATCAACTATTGAGATGGTACGCGGACTGTAAATTCGGCTAAAGGGAGGAATTTGACACTGTTGGCTGACATAGGGACAGGGCTTGAGAATACAGATCACACAGTATATCCCAACGTTTACCTCAAACGACTTGGATTTAGCGTAAGGCCGCATTACTGGCTGTCTAGGTATCACAAGCTGTAGAAGCCATGTGTTATTGACAAAATTGGCCAGTTTCATTTCCGATATCATTGATCTGTCGTTGTTCCGAAAGCGAGCCAATAAGATGGAAATATCTGCTGCAACAAGCTTGCGGCTGAGAAGTTTCTGACAGGCACAAAAAGCCGCACTCTAAGCGCAAAGCAGTTGAAAACGCTACAAGTGGTGTTCCAAGAAGCTATGTCAGCGACCTTTAGTGGCAATGCATTCTTGAACCGTGCTCACTGCTCCGACCGTCCGAGTCCAGTCCGTTAGCAGGGACCTTTCCGATATGATAGAGTTCGGAGGCTGTTCCTGGTTTCCTATATGAAAATTCGAAATATACTCCCTTAGATTGAATGTCTTGAAACATGTTGGAACCTATACTCCTGGGATACCACTACTACTGCTGGGTCAAAGGTTCAGTTTCTTAACTGGTAAATACTCTAATAATCCACTGGCATATTCCTGTGTTGATACGGCTAAGGTATCGGAATCACCTTCGTTGCAACGAGTTGAAATGATTGTGATTGTTCTTGTTGTTCTATGGAGGTGGAGGGAGGTCGGCAGTAAGGCAGCAGCTAGAGCTCGGACCACACGGCTTAGTCAGCCGTGTAATCCAAGCTCGTGCATGCAGCAACCAGCTGCCTTATCTACCGCAGGTTCGATTCCCAACATCCTGTAGCGATAAAATGAGCAAAGTTATTTTCATCGCTGCGATTCTGTATACCGGTACTCTGGCCTGGTGGATAATTCTTGACTTAGAGGCCGCTTCCGATTTGAGCGGATCATTCGGCGTGACCTTGAAGTGCAGAAGAGCGGGGACTTAGTAGAAGATGATGACGAAATGATTTCGCATAGAAAACCTGTATGATGTAAAGATAACAGAGTTTAAGAAATTGCGGCCTGTCAAACGTCGAAGCAGGCTGCAGCGTTGGATGACAAAGACAAGGCTAAGCACCGACTCGGAGCTCAGCTATAGTCACACTTACGTATTGTTTTGCCTGCTTTCCAGCTATAAGGCCTCATGTTAATGAATCGGAAGCTTAAGCGACAAGAAGAGTGTTGAAGACTGGTTTTTACCAACAGGTCGGTACAAGTTGTCAGTAATTGACGTAGACACAACCTGTCTCGGAACAGCCTCGGAACAACGAGGCTGATGATCGTCACTAAGTCCCAAAATGGCAAGGTGCCGCAGGTGTGGGGCGACAGAGCGCATCAAGGCTCAGGGTGCAACGGAACCATTTCTTGTCCGCGGACCGATCTACATCATCGAAAACTTTCAGTATCCAACACTCACATACTGGATCCGAGTATGGTCGAAACTAAAGTTGGCGGATCGTCAGATTTGTTAGGGTCGACAAACAAGCCCGGTGGAGGACGATTAAGGGTCATCTCCTCGTGCCTGACATGTCGACGAAGAAAGGTCAAGTGTGACCATGTCCACCCGATTTGTGGCTCGTGTAATCGAGGAAACCATGCCTGTACCTGGACGGACCGAGCTCAGCCAACGACTGCTACTGGAAGGATCTCGAAGCCGACCATCGCAGACAAGATTGGAAAGTCAAGTGACGTTCAGGCGAGACTGGACAGACTCGAATATCTTCTGGAGAGAGCCGTTGCAGGACAAGGGCAGAACGCTGCACCTTCCATACGGTCTAGTGTTGAATATGAGAGGAGAGAAGATGCTCTGACTCCATCGTCCAACAGTCAGACGTCCCACGGAGGTGGAATAGCTTCTGATGACGGTGATGGGACCCTGTTGTTGAATGGTGGGCAGGCCCAGTTTGTGTCTTCTCTTCACTTTGCATTGCTTGCTGATGAGGTGAGTGCTGAATTCCGATATCCTGTATTACCGATCTTACCTCACGTCACGCCTTCTGTTTTGCTAGGAAGATGGTCATGATACAGCTTTTTGGGCGCTTTCGTTGCACAGTTGTTATGGTATTGACCTTATCCTAGTTCCAAGATATCAAGGCTTTGCTTGGTGACAAAACAGACGAAGAGAAAAAGGAAGTCCCGCAAAACACGCTCATCGACCTACTCTCTCTGGGCCGCGCAGGTTCTGGCTCCAACTTGGGGGACTTATTACCCAGCACACAAGAGCACCGCGATTACTTGCTAGAGGTCTATTTCACCAGTGTTGACCCGATGATCAGGGTCACGCATAGGCCAACGGTGATCCGCAAGATGCACACATACGACCGTGAGGCACATCCTATGGCGTATGCCATCTACTACTCTGCAATTAATGCCATGTCCCCAAAGACTATAGGCGACAAGTTTGGTGAAAGCAAAAAGGAACTTCTGGATCGATATCAATTGGCCATCGAAATATCGCTTGCCCGAGAAAATTACCTGACTACGTCGGATCTAGAGATTCTTCAAGCGTTTGTGATATGGCTCAGTTGTATCACAAGAGAAGAAGAAATGAGTGGGTCTATTATAACATTATTCCTACTCAAAACTAACAACCTTTGTAGGCAAAGCGTGGGTATTGATTGGCATAGCGTTTCGCATCGCACTTAACCAAGGCTTACATCGAGATCCTTCATTATTTCCCGCTGGATCGATGGATATCATCACTATCGAGCTACGCCGCCGTGTGTGGCACCAACTGGGTCATTTGGAGTTCCGAGCAGCCGAGTGCAAAGGTCAAGAGCCAAGCATAACAGAAGATTTCTATACGACGCTATTCCCGCGCAACATCGATGATGAGGACCTCGTAGATGGTGCGAGCCCTAGTCCGACTCCATACGACGAGAGCAAGTTTACAACCATGACATTCCAGATCGTACGTTTCAACGGGATGCGAGCACTGCGACGGATTATCCAAAGTACATACCGTCTGGAACGACGTATGCTCGACTCTGGGCTCAATGGAACTTCTCCTCCAGATCCCGCCGTGGAGCTACGAAGTCTTTACGAGCAAATCAAAGTCATGCTGGATGAGATTGTTGAGGAAAACCAGCGAAAGTATTTACGGCATCTGAACCGAGAGATACCGATGCAGAGATTAACGCTAGGTCTTGTATCGTTGCTGGAATGGCGCGCTTACTTGCTATTCTGGCTCCGAATGCCGCGCGCTTACCGTGATGTCGTCTTTGCAGATGACATTCGCCGATCGTAGGTGTTTTGGTTATGAAACGCACGAGAAGTGAATGCCGTAGCTGACCAACATAGAATATTCGAAAAGTCCATCAGTTGTGTAGAAGCTTTGAATGTAGCCGCTGCGGATATTGATGCGGCTCGGTTTCAATGGCACATTGGTAGGTCCATCTACTTGCTGCTTGGATGTTCAGACGCTGACTGGGAAAGGAGGCATCGCTTCCTTCCAGGCAATTATGCATATTCTGTCAGAACTCCGTAATCCTTTATTCGATGTACCAGAGCGACAACGAGCCTTGAAAGCAATACAGATGTCACGCCTTCTCCGAGAGAACAACACATCCAAAGCATGGCAGGCTGTCAAGAATATGATCGACAAGGCCATAGCTGAACACAACTTACCCCCACAATCAAGTAGCCATACGAGCGCGCCTTTAGAGTCATCCACGTCGAAAAGCGTATTCTCAGAGCTACGTACCGCTGCAAAACATACTTATCCAAGATCTGTTGCACAATACGATGAACCGCCAGTCTCTGCGCCACCACCACCGCAGCTACCACAACAGCTACCACAACAGCTACCACAGCAACTATCACAGCAACTATCACAACATACAATGCAGCCTCAGCCCGACCCGATGCAAAACTTACAATACATGCAGAATCAGATGCCATGTTGGGATGACTTCAACCTAAGCAACATCAACAACATTGTTGGAGACGTGCTTCCAAACGCCGAAATGGTCCCCGACTTTGACTTTGTAAGTGGAAATGCAGCTAAAACAAATGGAAAGGTTTTAGCTAACCAGTCCAGGGTTTCTGGGGTGATCCATTCAACTACGAAAGCGAGCCTGTAGGTATGCCCATGCAGGACAACTACCTCCCTCAGTGGATTGGATGAGTTGTAGGCGCCAGGAGTGAGATTAAGACTGCTACAATCGTTTCTACGGGGGCGAATGCGAACAGTCTGTGCGGCTCAGGCGTTTACATCCGATAGGTATTCAAGATGGACCATGTGTGGGGATGTATACGCAGGCGTGGTCCTACGGGTACTCGACGTCTACAAGAGCATCTTCTACTATATCATGGCAATGGCACACCTCGCAGCCACGTTCTTACCGAATTGATCAACGCGAGTTTGCACAGGGAAATGGCACCCGCTTCGTGAGTTCTAGGGCGGTGCGGGACATGCCTGCTGGCGTGGAGTTTAGTGTATATTACGTCGCGGAACGTATTCCGATTCTAATAGGGTTTGACACGTTATCTTTCATAGAAGAGGAAAAACTGTACAGTAATCACGGTTTCGAGTCGAGAGAATAGGAAAGAGGAATGATTCTCCACCAACGCGTCAAGATAGTGGAGATGAATGGAATGAATGGCGGTGGAGGAAATGTAGAAATGTAATACAACGGTTCCACCCAACCTGAATTTGGACATTTCACGAAGACCTAGGACTGAGAGACACCAAACCAAGAGGAAGGGGGATGAGTACAGTTTTCTAGATGGATCAACAAGAAACGAGTTCCCCTTGGAAAAGACCGCTAAATACGCAAGACCAATCATACCACATACCATATACCCCCCATGCGCCCTTGATTGAGATTGAAAACGCCCATGTGAAAATCATAACAGCAGTTATAGCGCTCCCATATACAAAACCAAGTTCCCAGTACCCATTTTTTTTCATCATCACCGACCAGGCCCACCACTAAAACTATACCCACTCCCACTATGACTAGCCGCCCTATCAATACCCCCCGCGGCATCCCGTCTAAACTCATCGTAACCCCCTGGGCTCAACGCGTCCACGCCAGCCGCAATACTGCCCCTCCTCTCAACACTATAATCCGCATACGGCGGCACCGACCTCGCACCCACACTACCCGCACCGTAGACACTCGCATTCCGCTCCTCGCCCCAGCTAAGCGGGCGGCCCGGATGTCTGCCCTCATCGGTATCGGTCGAGTGCAACAGCGCGTACTCGTCTTCGTGCTGGTTTCCGCCGTGTTCGGTGCGGCGGTCGTCGCTGAGGGTGTCGGACGAGTCGCGACCGTGAGCGGTTTCGATTTCCGTACTCCAAGTTGTGTCTTTTGCGTTTAGGTCGGTGGCGCCGCCGGCGGGGTTGTACGACGAGTCGCCGGTTTCGTAGAAGGGGTTCTTGGATGAGGATTGGTAGGGCATTTTGCCTTCGCGGAGGTATTTGTGGAGGTAGTAGCCGCTTACGCCGGTTGTGATGGCGAAGAAGATGCTGGTGGGTTGGTTGGTTAGTTTGTGTGGTAGCTTGGTGAGAAGGGTCAGGAGACGTACAAGACCATGACGCCTACGCCTACAGCGGCTTTGCTGACTGCGCATTTTGCCTCGTCGCCGTAGAGGAACGTGGTGCAGTTTTTATCGTCGTCTGGTATCTTTGCCTTTGCGGCGCCTTCGCGGATGCCGTTTGCGTTCCAGACTGCGACTGAGATGAAGGCTGCGAACCAGAGGATTGTGTACAGGGCGTCGACGGCGAGGAAGGCGTAGGCTGAGGCGAAGCGTTGGGCGCGCGACCACATGGGTACCATTGTGAGGTAGATGATTGCGGGTATGGAAACGAAGCACTGTGGCACGGAGTTGATCAGCCTTGTTCTCTCTCTCTCTGTATGTCTCTCTCGCTCTTGGTTCTACAAGTGCTCGACAGGTGGGTCAACATACCATGGCAAAGAAATACTTGGTAGCACCCCCGATGTCACCCTCTTTCGTCATGACGGCTATAGTTAAACACGCGGCTATGAAGACAAAGATGGCCTGAAAGACATGCGCCACTACCTTGCACTTCTGGATATACGACTGTGGTATCCGCATCGTGGGCATGTTTCGCTTTCAATGTCTTTTTTCTACTCTGCTGCTTTCTGCGGTTCCGCGAATGTTGGTAGTGTTTGTTGTGGAGTGAGGGAAGATGTTGGTCCTCGGCCAGCTAACGTAGGTAAACAAGCCGTCTCGGTCTCGGCTTCAGCCCTACGGAGCGAGCGAGCGAGCAAAGTGGAGTGGGCGTGGCGGAAGGAAAAAGAGTGGGCGTCGGTCGAATACGAGTCGTGCGTCAGTTTCCGGTTGGTACCGCCTCTCTCTCTCTCACACACACACTCTCTCTCTCTTTCTCTATGAATCTCGTTCGTTCGTTCCCCCCAAACAAAGAAAGTGAATAGAAAGGAAAAAATGCCGGTGTGTCTTGTAGAAATGATTAGGGGAAGTGTGCATGTGCATGTGTAAAACGAGCGTGGGTGATTCCAATGCGCTAACAAGCCCCCGTCCTGTGATTCCAATGCAAAACGTCAGACACGTTCAAGTCTCAGCCTCAGCTGGTGTGGGTACGTATGACCGTCCGTCCGAACAAAAGTCAGCGAACTTGAGCCTCGCCCCGCACGCGCATGCGCACAAGGCCGCCCGCTCAATCAGCTGCAGGGCTTGCAACCTAACCCAGCAACCAACCGCGTAGTACATACATACTGTAGTGCCTCGTTTATTAATAGCCCGCCTGTCCCTTTACGGTTTAGTCGTTTGCGCGTTCCTGGGAGTTTTGGTCGCGGACAATTGGTTGAGGAGGGAACGACTCTAGCGTTGCACGTGTGTGGAGCGCCGGCTTGGGACGACTTGGTATCTTTCTTGTGCAATTGTGGAATCATTTGTCAAACGTGGTAACGTATGCGGGGACTGAGTGCATCGAGGAGTATGCCTTGTCTTGTCTACACCGGTTTTCGCTTTCCTTCAGCTCAGCCCACGACGACAACTCCAATCTATCTGAAAGCCGCCATTGAGCAAATACGCCCTGGCCATCTCATTGCTTCTCCGCTGCGACTCCAGGCCACGGCGTTGCCGCCAAGCTTGCTTCCGCTGGTCGCTGCAAACGTGCCAACCTGTCCGGTGTCCGAGAGTAGCCAGTAGCTTTCTTTGCCCTGCGTCCAGCACCGCCCTTGTACACACTACTACCATAGCCGCAAAGGCAAAGCCGCATCTACATCTTGTGCACCTTGTATCGTCTGGTCCGCCAATAAAGTATAACAACCAAGAGCGGCATCTTGACCTTCCGCAGCAAATACTGGACATCGGCCTGGGAAATTAATATGTTGCTCGTCGTTATCCTGTCTCACCCTCTCTCGTTGCGATAGCCTGTTGCATTGGCCTTTACTTAGGTTCCCCCGCAGCTGTGCCCCGCAGTAGTCAACTACAGTATATTCCGCAGATCCTAAATACTACGTCGGCACCGGCGTGCGTGCAAAGGCTCTGTTGAAAGAATCCCGCATACTTCATCCTTGGTCTAAGAACCACCCTCACATCCTGACATCACAGTCATGCGACGGACAGCCATCAGCGAGTCGTTCGATTTCAGCACCCATCCGTAATCCCCCGCACTCGACGTGCCCGCACCGTTGCCCTGGGTGATGAGCCGTAAGCTCGTGCTCGTATTGTTGAGTGGAGACGTCCTGGTTCCGTAGATCGTGCACACCACGTCATCGCAATCTGCTGCACCGAGATGCTCTGTCGGTGAAAATCGTTCCGACTTTGATTTTCTAACAAACGAACGACGATACGTGTACATGACAAGGTTTATACAGGACACTTGTCATACCAGTCGATGAATTGAACTTCTCCCCATACGTCATTCTATTATATTGCGTCTTACATTACTCCTTGAAACATCATCTCCGTCTATTTATCTTGGGGTACAACATGCACCTCCCAATCAGCACCATGTGGGCCTTTAACCCTCTCCCGCGGCTTGTCGTGTAAGAATGGCCCCTGAGCATTCGTCACTTCATTCTCTAGAACGCCTTTCTTCTCGCCCGTTTGCAAGTACTCCAGAAAGCGAAGGGAAGTGTCGATATACTCGTGCAGTGCAACCCTACTTCCAAGCGTCGTTCCAGTAACTAGCTTCATGATCCACGGAACAATGAGTGGCGCATCAGTACACGATGGATGCGCAGTGCCACTCAATGTCATGAACCAGCCCTCCTTCAAGTCCTGCACAATCTTCTTCACAACCTGGAAGTGCCAGCCTTGGCCGTAAAAGTCGGTTTGCTTGTCCGTCCATTCTCCGCTCTGCATAACGAGTATAGGCACGTCGATGTCCTTGTTAAGGTCTCCGGATCCCTTTCCGGGATCTAGCGCAACACCGCCATTGATGGGCATGGTTTTAGTCCCAGCAGACTTGAGCGCTTGCATAACCCCGGTTGCACCGTACGAGTGACCTCCAACTGTGACTGCAGACAGGTTGAGCCGGTTCTTGAAACCGGGTAGAGCGTTTCGAGGAGAGTCGGGCTTGAGGTTGACAACTGGGGCGTCACCTGCGTTGAGTTGCGCAAAAAGCTTAATCGTCTCGCTGATCTCTGCCTCGCGAAAGTTGAGTTGGGCGGCTTTGAGATCAAGTTCGTCCATTGGAGGTTTGGCCGTAAGATCCTCGAGTTTCAAATGCCACACCTTCCTTTCAGTCCCGTTCGCATGATGGATGATGGTACCCGGTCCACTTCCGTCTCGATGTTCAACAGCGGCGACAACGTAGCCGTGGCTCGCAATGCTTCCGAGGTAGTGTGCATAACTCTGGCTCATTCCCGCCATACCATGCGTGAATACCATACAGGGAAGTGTGCCAATGTTATCGTCCCGCTTCAACTCCTGACGTTCCTGCTCCGCTGTGCCCATGATTTTGCCCAAGCCACCAGCACCGCCATCTTCTCCCAATATCTTCTCAGCGCCAGATAGTATAGGTGCGTCCACGACACCTGGAATGACGGTGCTTGAGCCGAGAAGCCAGAGGCCGAAGGTAAAGAGGGAGGATAGTCGCGGGACGCCCGCAAGGCGGGCGTAGCCCTCGCCAATAAGCGATACGGGCTGAGGAAGCCATGGCCGCGCCCAAGGTCGCTGACTCGGCGATGCAAGTGGTAGTGACGATGGATAGTATAGTGTGATGGCCAGTGTATTCATTTCGAAAGCCTTCTCTCCGGTGCTCTTCAATACCGCGTCATGAATGACTTTGTTCTCGACCTCCGTCTCCACATCTAGTATGCCGACCTCGTGCGGTCCAGTATATGGCGGCAGCGGCGATGTAATTGGAGTCAGGCTGAAGATAAAAATAAAAAAGAGGACGCCTGCCGATGTGAAGAATAGCAGACGCCGCGGCGTCAGGCGGCCAATCCGGAACACCATAATGCTGCTATGTAAGTGATAAATAAACAGGATGGTGCCGGATGGGTTATCCAACGTTTGCACGGATACGTCGTACGGAACTCAAGGTATACAGTGCAGCATCGACGACGGTTACATGTTCACGTGGAATGTCGTAATGTGAAGGTTGGCCACCGATGACGTACGCGACCTCGGAGATAAGGCTTTTGGCCGCTTGTCTGTAACTGGACGAAACCAGCCTTTGAGTAGCACGCTTTGACACAACCACGACGATATATACAGAAGACTCAGGTCAAAAGCGGAATATGATTCGAGTGGTACATGGAATACATAACTTTATCTAATACCAAGAGGTATCCATGTATACATCTCGCGACACACCAGTCCAAGACGAATTGGGCTAGCGTAAGCCTACCACAACAGTTCGCGGTAAAGCGAAGGCTAAATGAACTCTTTGACTTTGCTATTTCCCAGGTCTATTTATATAAAGGGTATCAAGGTAACACTGGCCTTGATAAAGCCATGTGATGTGGGTGCATGTGGGCCTTGTGACACACTGTTCAGCATCAGCGAACTCAACTTTGCTAAATTTGTGGACACGTATGGTAAGGTTTTGAAGGCATCACATACAACAGGATGGGCTCTGACGATGACGAAAAATTGTTTCTATCCTACTCAGATGAACACATGGCTGATTGTGACCAGACGCAACACTGTGCACTGCTGAATCTTATAGGAGCTGCAGTGGTGATTAGAGCAAGACAGCCCATACTTTCATCAAATGAAATGTTTCTGGACAGAAACATAGTGGTAAGATTGAACGGCTATTACCGCCTTTGACTTCAGACATGTTATCCTCCTCTCTACCTTATCGGAGTGGACTTACTCCTTTCCAAGTATCAGCTCTAACGCCACATAAGCACTCCGTTGTATTCTTGCTCAACTCCGGAGACTTCCCCTTGTGAACTGCAGTAGGCACATCAGGGCCGAGTTGAATGCCTTCACCAGAAACGATGGGCACAAGAGCAGCATACCTATGCTGGAGCTCATGTTGGAAGTACTTGTAGTCACTCAATTCCTACTAGTTTACGGGCGTTGATTCACCCGTATACTATTTCATCGTGTTACTTATGATAATGCGATCAGTTTCTGTTCAAACACCATCTGGCCAGTCATCAAAACTCGTACACTTAGATCCTACCAGGATGATTCGAAGAGCCCCTCTTGCTGTCGTGTTTTTGCGATAACCCTAGACGAGACAGGATACCCAAGGTACCGCCTACTGCGGTATGTGGTGTGACTATAATCAGGTGACTCAGCTGTCTTCGGGTACCGAAGCCGACGGCTGAAAGGTCAGAGTCATACACCAACTCACCGTGAACGTCCCCACCCAACACGATACTCCCATCATCATCTAAAACACTCACCTCATAAAGCCAACTGCGCATTGAAAAGAACATGGGACCACCGATCGAGACACCAAAAGGCACGCGCGACTGGGCGGGAGACGACATCACACTGCGCAACAACGTCTTCGACAAGATCCGCAATATATTCCGGCTGCACGGTGGCACAGAAATAGACACCCCCGCATTCGAACGGAAGAGCTATCTAACCGAAAAGTATGGGGAAGACACGAAGCTCATATATGACCTGGATGAGCAGGGCGGAGCGCCATGCGCACTGCGTTATGATTTGACTGTCCCATTCGCTCGCTGGCTGGCCATGAACAATATCCGAACAATAAAGCGCTTCCAAATAGGCAAGGTGTATAGACGGGATCAACCTTCGCTGGAAAAAGGACGCATGCGAGAGTTCTTCCAGTGCGACTTTGACTATGCTGGTGGTCAATGCGATTCTATGGTACCGGATGCTGAAGTCGTTTGCATTGCCGCCGAGGTATTCGAGGCCCTACAACTAGATGTTGTGATCAGAATCAATCACCGCCTTATCCTAGATGGTTTCTTCTCAGCAGTAGGCGTCCCAACGTCACTCCTGCGCCCAATTAGTTCAGCAGTGGACAAGTTAGACAAACTTCCATAGCCCGAAGTCCAGAAAGAGATGGTGGAAAAGGGGCTTGACGTCAACGTCGCTACCAAACTTGGACAGTATCTGCAACGAGACAAGGAAGCTGGAACCGTTCCAAGACTATTAACCCTTACTTCAGACCCGCTTTTGTCGGCAAACCTGGATATCCAAAAGGGTGTGGAAGAAATGGAATTGCTTATGCAATATCTGAAGGCATATGGAGTCGCCGACCAAGTCCAATTCGACCTAGCACTCGCCCGTGGTCTGGACTACTACACCGGCGTGATCTACGAAGTAATGCTACCGATTAGGAAAACAGGGGTATCCGTCGGAAGTATCGCTGCAGGTGGTCGATATGACGACCTGGTGTCCATGTTCAGCAGCCACAACATTCCCTGCGTCGGCATCTCCTTCGGAATCGACCGCATTTTGACCATACTCAAAGATGGCCAACAGCCTAAAGCCCAAAGAATCGATAGCTGGATCGTTATTGCATCGAGCGACAAGGTCCTAGTTCAACAACGCATGGCACTTGCCAGAGAGATGCGCCAAGCTGGCATCAGCGTCGATTTTGATCCCAAAGCCGACAAGAAGCCACGAAAACAGATAGATATTGCTGAAAAGAGCGCGGCAACTGTGGCATTTCTAGATCTCGATGATGAAACGCCTGGAAACCCCCGACTCAAGATACTCACTCCACCTCACAAGAACCCAGACATCGCACCCGTCGTCGACCGTAACAACGTCATCGGCCAAGTAAAAAGGCATCTAGCACAGGCTGAATACAACTCATAGGACGCCTTACAATTCATTCAGCCTACTTCCATCCTTCATTGCTCTTCCCAGAACAGGGCACCCCCCGTCCTTATAACCTCCACCTTCACCCAGTCACTCACCCACGCCCAATCCGTCTTCACGTGCATATACCCGCATTACCGAGACCACACTACACAATCCCATCCCAGCCCAATCCACGCTCGCCACACCAAATGGGGGGGTGGGAGGCGGCACCAGCCAAGTACGGCAGCGGCCCGGATAAATCTCCATCGGTTCCTTCCCTATCTACAATATACCCCCAACCTTACCGCATCGGTTGGCGTACACACTATTTGTGCATTAGCCCTAATTGCCCCTATAAGACATGCGTTTAAGACCTCCACTTTCTGGACTAACGATTGATGTGCGTGCTAACGACCGAGCCGTTCCCGTGGTCTTGGTGCAACCTGGTACCTGACGCGCATAAGGGACCTTGTTTGCGAGCGCGATCTGCCATGGGGGGAGGGGCAAGTTTTTTTTACCCGGGAGATCATATGGTGAAGCGAGGGGATCCTGTGGGTTGGGTGGTGAGGGTATGGGTGGGGCGTTTGGGGGACGGGGACGGGGACAGGGACGGGAAGCGATGTGATGGGATGGGTAGTGTAGATATGTGTTGCAGTACCAAAGATACCTCTGCTTATCCAAGTACTTTTATCTTTGTTCTTCAATCTCTTTCCTATACAAACCTCACCTTCACCACCACGACTCCCACCCATCAATCTACCCTCACCCCAACGCCAACCACATAACCCGCGGACAAAAAAATCAAAGGTATGCAGCATAAAAATCCCGCGCGATGCCCACACGTCCGTGCTCGTTTCCGTCGGTGGCCCCTACTGACCACATCCCTACTCTTATCACCTCAACAATATAGCCAAGGGTTACCTACGTTTCAAACATGTAGACTCCGCAACAATCAATTTAATCCGGTCCTTTTTCTTGGCCCCCTTTCCTTTTTTGGGGGGGGTTAAACCCCTTTTGGGAAATTTTGGGGTTAAAGGGGGAAACAAACAATCCCATTTGGACCTTTTGGGGCCCCCTTAATTTGTTTTTGGGGGGGGGGCAAAAATTTTTTTTTCTTTGCCCCCGGCCCCCCCCCCCCCCCCCCCCCCCCCCCCCATCCCGACATGACGGCTACCTAGTATAACGCGCCGCTGTTCGCTTCCCCGCATTTTGCTTATGCTTGTGTCGGGGAGGCAAATAGCGGAGATGGGGGGGATAGCTTATTGGTGATTTTGGCATACAAGCGAACAAGCGCGGCAGGTCGCGTGGTTTGAATACAGTAGCGGGAGGAGGAGGGACAAGGAGGATGAGGAAGCGGTGTTATCAGGGATACAAGGCTGTACACAAGAGATGGATATGATGGAATCTGGGAGGCTAACTATAGTCTGAAAATGATGATGAGCCACACTGCTTACTTTTCTGAGATATCTCCCGATGATTCTTTTTCTCGCCCAAGATTTGCATAAAAGCATCGTCCTTGGGTTAGGATGGAATGACATGGCAGCTTCACGAGCTTACTGTACACTAACCTACAATACGAAGAATAGCTCATGCAGCAATCTAGGAGTCATCACATCTGATGTGAGCCGCCAGATCTGCAAAAATCCAACAATACCTAACACACATCATCTCTCGTTTCGTGTGAGATATTCATGCATTGAGGTGCCTTTCCGACCACGTTGGATCGATACCAGTGTACCGGGTGTTTCTCCTTTCTCTCTGCGTGTAGCTGTGTGTCTGTTTTGGGTGATTGGATTAACTGATACCGGGGGTTTGACAACTAGATCGAGATTTGTGGCAACCTACCGACCTGTCTTCGCTCGCTTGCTGGATATGTTCCGTTGGTTGGGGGGTATATGCGGAAGAGGGCGGCTGTGCGGCTAGTATACGCGCCGCATAGCGTTGAGAGTGAACCAAACTCTATCAGCTATAACGGGACATATGTTGGTACATATGTATGTATCGCGTCCAATGTAGATAGGTGGAGGTAAGCAGCAACAACACCAACAACAGCTGCATCTGCATAGCCAAGGTCAATAACATCCAAGCCGGAAGTTACCTACCTACCCTAAGATCCGGAATCCCCTCGTACGTACTAGCTCGTGTTAGTTTCGTTTACCTGTACGTCGTGTGGTGTCTGAAGATTAGGTTCAACATCCGCCTTGGTACACACCCGACATGTGGGGTCGCGTTTGTTGGCTTCCGGTAGCACGCGGGATCGTGTTAAGTTACCCTGGTAAAGCAGCCAGCCAGTCGGACGTCAACGGCAGTAATGATGGCTACGCGTCGCTTTTCCACCACCACCGACTACGCGTCTACCCCACATACTACACAGCCCGGCCCTCGTTATACTTACCTCGTATATCACTAGTTAACAGACCACCGAGCATTTACAAGGCCGTATGTCGTATTCGCAGAAACGCCACCGCCTTGGAGGGGGCGGAATCAACGACTTCGTAACTTTATCGTCGGAAAATGCAAACTCTATTGGGTAAACTTCAGCGGCTGGTGTGGGTGGGCTGTACGTACATATTACATGGGGACTCCCCGTACTGCGGCAGTTTTCCTAGGTGCCGGTAGCGAGTGAACCGCGGGCGTCATTTCAGGTACGAAACGTGGTCGGCGGTAAGCAACAAGGGGAAAGAAAGACCGAGCGAATAGTCAGACTCTGTCCTACTGTACCAGGAGTAGGTTGAGGCGGGAGAGATGGCGCATTTGGAATACTCTCGGGTTGGATTACGGCTTACCTACATGCTCTTCTTGGTACATGGTCTGGACTGGACCCCCCGAACCCCCCATAGTGCGACCGCCGCTTGGTTACGGGGAAGCCAATTGTGAAGAAAGAGACAACAAGGTAGATGGGTCTTGTTCGATGGGTGGAATGCGAGAGGGTCATGTGACGAACACGGCCAACGGTTCCTGCAGGGTAAGCACGAATGGCGCCGAAGATCTGCAGGGCCGCATCGATCAGTGCGTGGTTTGAAACAGGTTGCGGGAGAAGAGAAAAGCAAAGGTAATCGCATGGGTGTGTTGTGGCGTGCGTTCGTGTGGTACCTGCATGAGGAGACGTAGAAGCAAATGGTGTGGAGGACGGATGGCGGACAATAGCAATGTTATGTTATTGAATCTAGATATGATGTGTGATAGATAGGTAGTTAGATGTACGATGCTCGCAAGCAATCGTTTTAGTAAATGAGATAAAACACCAACCCACTGCTCAGTATAGTCTTTCGCCCCCTCCTATGACATGTCTGCATATTAGGTCCCCAATCTATAAAACGTTCGCCACCCCCAAATCAAATGACAAAGGAAAGAATTTGTTGCGCAAAACGTTGTACGCAAAGGTCTATGTTTCTGGTATTACATTGAGACGCCGAAACAATGCACTTGAGAGAGCAAGCTGAGAATAAAGACACAAGGAGATTCCCAAATGCATGCGGTGGGAGTGTAGATGCCAGGTTTGGGCTTTTTCGCTAATAAGAAGATGAGACGGAAAAAAGGAAATAACGTGAGGGTCATGAATATATACTCTGAATGTAATGTGGGCGGTCGTTGGCAGCGTGATATGAAGCGTAGCCAGACGTGCTTCATGAACCTCCTGGGTTTTTATGTAGACGGGCGCGGTTGATGACAAAAGAATTAGGCGCCGTGATTTGTTTTTGCTATTTGTGTTTACATCCGCGCAGGGTTCGAGGCATACCGTGGCGGTGCTGGGAAGAGACTTAGCGTAGGGCGTGACTGTGTAGTGGTTGCTGCACGGCTGCGTGTCATTGAAGCATGTTCTTTCATGCCGGGAGTAGGCGGAAGTAGCTTAGCCGCGCTTTCAGACATGGCTGGCTTGTGTAGGCGTGCAGGGCCGCAAGTAGAGCGCTGTGAGCCTTGTCGGGCAAGTTGAAGTGATGTCCTCAGCTCCTCTTCAACTGTAGAGTGCGCTGGGTGCTCCGAGCCACGGCGTGCAAGGTCAAGAGACTCCCTGAGCTCAGACTCAAGTGGGGCGCGGGGCTGCTCCTCAGTTTGAAGCCCCTCATCGTCTGCAGTAAAGAAGGTCCGACCGGGTGGCGTGATGTCGTGATCTTCCCTGTCTTCTTCAAGTGATGCAAACTGCTCAGACAGTTGGTCGAATCCCATGCTGAAGCCAAGTTCCTTACGGTTGCGGCGAGAATGAACCAATTCTGGTAGACTGCCAGCGGAACTTGCAGAGCGCCGAATCGGTGAGCTCCAGTGGCCAATACTTTGGACAGCGGACATCAGACTGCTATCATAAGAACTTCGCCTGCTGAGCCGAACGCGGCTGCTCCGGGCCGAGCTAGTTGCGCTTTGGCTGGTGTCGAGCATTGGAAAGTGCCGGTCTGAAGTCGCGTATTCGTCGAGCAAATCCTCATATGTGGCTTCTTGGGCTTCCTTGAAATCGGGGGGAATCAAAAGTGAAGGGCTCAGTACGAAGCCAGTGCCGCCGCTAAAGTGGCCGTTGTTGACAAAAAGCTCGGACGGTGTTGTAGGCAATCCGGTGCTAATTGTAGATGTGGATATTGCCGAAGTAGGGACCAGCTCGGGCAAGCTGCTCCGGCTGGGGACGAGCAAAGAAGTGCGGAATGCGGCAGAACCGAATCGCTCATGATCATTAGTAGAGGAGACTCTGGTAGGATACTGGGCGGCATTGGAAACATCTGCGTCGTCAGCACCGTTGTCGGAAATGCGATCCCATTCAAAGTCGCAGTCGGCCTCGAGAGCGTTGTCGTAGATGTAATCGACGTCTTCTTCCCATGACTCTTCGATAGCGCGCCAAGTGTTAGATTGGTGCCGAATGGTAGGTCTTCGGACTGATGATTTCCGCGTAAGATGAGATGAGCCCAGAGTATCGGACATCTGTGATTCGGGTCGCACATAGGGATCGACCTTTGGTGAGATATAAGATTGTCCTTGGCCCTGGGCGCTAGCGCAAGGCGGGGTTCGCTGGTTCTGGAGGAGGAAGGATCCAAAATAAGGCGATCTCGGCGAAACTGGGTTCCTGGTAGGTGGCTGAGGTGCCGGACGTGGGCTAACGAATTTTTCGGGTTCTTCAGCAACATCTGCGAGACTCGGACTGAAAGGCGGCGTCGTGGCATGAATGGCAGAATCGTCGGGTGTTGTGAGAGCGTGTCCAAAGTATGAAGAGTCCTCTTGAATACCTGGTAACTCGGGGGTGGTTACAGTGGTGAGCGCAAACGAATCCCAGACCCCAGACTCTCGTTTGGAGCGTGACAATCTGCGTGCAGCCGACCAATGCTCATCATAAGCGGCGTCTGAAGTAACAAAAGCCGCTCCAGTAGGGAAATGAGGGGATGAAGGCGTCATTGATGTGATAGAAGGAGTGTGGTTGTGTTTCCAAGAGCTAACGCCAGGTTGAGAGAAGCTTTCGATCGATCGTGCTAAGCGGAGAGGGCGACGCGATGCTGCCATTTGAAACGCGTTTTCCCCATCCTGATTTGGAACTTCACTGCGTGGAGACCTGGAACTCAGAGCAGATAGAGGTCTTTCTCCTGGAGTCGTCAGGTTTTCAGACGAGAAGTTGTTAAAGTGAAGGCTTTCTGAGCCTTGATGATGGGGCTGCGAGCGCATTGCAAAGTATCCGCCAGCTCGGTCATTGGCAGCCTGTTCAAGGGCAGGAAGCTGATGCCGGTCGGTGTGTGAGAGGTGTTGGAAATCGAATGGGCTCGAGATGCGGCTGATAAGGCTTCCACCTGACGACAGAGTGAGTAATTGAGAGTAAAGAGTTTGCCATGGACTACTTACCAGCATCCTCAGACTGATTCGTACCTCTTCTGGCCCTTCGTAGGATAGAAGTCCGCCTTTCGGTGGCATCTCCTTCATAGTCATCAACGACGATTTGGGACGTCTCACTTAGTCGCTTTCCCTTCTTTCCACGGAACAACGACTTTCTCGAAGCCGACTCTTTCAGGCTCTTGTTGCTTGTGTGTCGACGTGCAGGTGGTGAGCCATGCCATGTAGCCTCATGGTCAGCCATGTCTTGCTGAGTCAAAGACAGCAAGGAGGGGTTGAGTGAGGTTGCGGTATTACTCCTAGACCGCAGATTGAATACGGAGCTTCGTCTAGCCGGGTTTCTGATATGGTGGTCAGGCGAAGGTAGGCCACTGTGAGACGGGTACTCGGTGCATTGGTCTGACCAAAGGTCTGCGGTTGCTGTATAAGTCGTATGTCCAGTAGCTTGGGAGTCTACGGATGACTGCCGGGATCGTGAGGCATCGCTTTTATGAAATGAAAACATTGCTTGATAGCCCAGCAGAAGGCCAGGAAGATGTGGCTAGGGTAAGCAATGCAAGTAGGGCAATGCTGGTATGATGCGTGCAGGTACCCACGGGTGGCCGGAAGATGTACTTAAGGCTGAGACCATTGAGGTTACACGAGATACTCCAGGGTGGCCTGTCGCAAACCCGGTTCCTGCGGGATGAGATGGCCAGGATACGCGTTGTTCTGGTTGCCGTGTTAGTAACAGAATGAGATGGGTTTGGCATTGACAGACCGGACCTGGAAAGCAGAGAAGGTGGGGGTGTAGGAGGGGAGATGAGAGAGGTTCAGCCAGGCCAAAAGATAGAAGCGGGACGACCAAGGAGGAAGGTATATTTGGGATGCTATATGAGAAAATGTATCAGATGCGTACCTAGTCAAGCGGATCGCTAATCCGCCGGGGAGTGGAGAGCAACGCAAGAGCCGATCACGGGCCACTGGTGTGCAGGGTGAGGGGGGAAGAATGGTATCCGCCCTCTCTGCGTGGTAATAAGACGAGGATGCGAGCAAGGAGTTGGGGTGGAGTGAGGTTGGCGACCGGCACAGACCGAAATGAAACAGAGGGTCAAGCAGAGGGTCGATGAAGGGGAAGGAGTGGATGCAGATTGGGGATAGCAAACAGGCGCATCACTTGTGCAACTGCACGTCGTACACAACAAGGGAGCAGGTGGAAGTTTTGAGGCCGGCAAGGTACCAGCAGATGTTGGGATGATCTCACTATGTAGGCCCATGGGCTGGTCGAGCGCAGCGGAGAGCATGTGGAGATGCTCAGTGCACTCCACCAAGTTAGTGACATTCAGGATGACAGGGACAGGGCGGGCTGCACGCAAGAGTGAAAGACCAGGGTATCTGCCGCTGAGCGACGGCGCCTGGACATTTGTTAGTGGCTGGGGGTAGCGGATACAGGGGTGAGGTTACGAACGGGGCTGCCCGGCTTCAAGGCCAACGAGCCAGTGAAGACCAGTGCTGGCAACAACACGGCCCGACAGGTCGGCCTGAGCAATATAACAGAACAGGGGCCGTCATGGCGCGTCATGATTGGACAGGACAGCGAAATAAACGGTTAAATCTGCTTGCATATCTGCTATGGTCACACACAGGCCCGCTATGCCAGGAGACGAAAGGTCCAATTTGCGTGAATGTCGGCCGCTGCGTCTTGTGCAACCGACGGCGATGCGACAACAAGGAGAGATCTGACGTCTGACGAGCTGGCGAGCTGGCAGAGCCTGTCGACGACGGGGCACGCTGCTGTTGTGAATGTGTCGTGTTTGCGCCGTCGACATAGATATCGTCTGGTGGTACACACGACGCGTCAACGGTGCTGAGCCCGTTCTCACAGGTGGGGAACGGGAGATTTTGGTAGCTAGACGACTTGTGCGATTAGTGCCGAACAGTGCCGGGTTCGCGTTTTCAGGCGGGCACGGCGCCATGGCTGCAGACCTGCAAAGCTACTTACAGAGCTGCAGACGCGTTCTGGTGTGTCGGGCCCTGTATGTGTGTGTGTGTGTGTGTGTGTGTGTGTGTGTGTGTGTGTGTTTACACGCTATCAAGGCCTGCACACGGTCGCAGCCTCGCAACCGGAATCTGGTAGCTAACCGGTTCATATTTGGTCATTGTATCAAGTATACCGAACTACGCTCGCCTCTATTTTCATTCACTTCTCCACACTGTTGCGAGACCGACGTGCTGGTGGGGGAAGAAAAAAAAGAGAGATCGTGATCCCCACGGCGAAGACAAGATTTACGGCTCTCTGGGGAGGAGGACGACGTGCCGTCCGCAAGATCGTCGCTCGTATATATCTAGGCATGTACGCACTGTAAGACAGGCGACAGACGACAGGCGGACCTTGAAACAGCCGAAAAGCGCCCTGTCATGGCCGACAAAATGGCCTAGGAAGCTTAGGACTCGATACCCCGCCGCAGTCACACGTCTCAGTCCACACAGCCCTGGCGCTGCCACTGCCTTGTGGCCAGTCCTCGTCGAGGCCAGACAAGAATCCGATGACTGATGATGCGTCGACCCAGACCTCACCATCGACTCTGCCCCTCCCACATGTGTTTCAGATGAGGCCGACTGAATGCTGGCTATCGTGAGCCGTGGGACCGTGGTGATCTACCTCTCGTGCCATCTTTCGGAACCACAAACTCGAACCAGTGTGCACAACGCACAGCATGGCACCGTCGCACAGCCAGCGAAGCATCAGACATCCGAGTCGACTTTTCCATGCTACCTGCTGCAGTCGACGACTCGCGACACCCGTCATATCATATCTCTGCGTGCCACTCTGTAAGCCTTGACCTCAGCCGCAGCATCACACTTGCCTGTCGTGCTCCACGGGGCATGTGTGACGAGCGCTTATCTCGACGCTGTGTTTCTTTGTTCAACGTGCTCTCTAAAACATTCCCAATGTGATTGTGAAGAGCCGCGTGGGCATGGGGCGCCGGCCGAGTCCAGCTTCATCTTCAGTCTTCACCTGCATGTACGCTGCCCAAGCACACCGACTGTCCCGGTTTAACTGCGGGAGTCCGCGTCTATAGAGCGTGATGCCGAATTTCCCGGGGGCAGTCTATATCCCCAACAAACAGGGTAGCAAGAGTCGTGATGGGGCGTCCAAGTGCGTACCAAGGTACTTGCCCAGTATTCCCGAGGTCGGTGAAACTGAGTCACGTGCTATAGCTACAGCGCACGTGCACCTACTAGTCACGTGCACACTCCTGCGGAAACAGCGATCCGCACCACCACCGAACACGTCCCATCTTCATCTCAGTGCTTCAACCCAAGTCTTCGCCATCCTATTTCAAGACTGCGCCAATATCCTCCGTGGTTTCCTATCGTTTGCACACCTTTCCCCTGGTTCCTGCAGTGGTTGCTGACTGCAGATCGGTGAGCTCACTCCCGTGTGCCTCCACATTAACTGCTGCGCTCATGTAGCGCGCTCCACGTCTTACGCATCACTCGTCGCTCTACGCGTTTTGCTTAAAACACCATCCACTCGATTGTCCTGCTGCTGTGGGCGACTTTGGTAGTAACACGACGGCCCTGTTTCCTATCTAAGAGTCAGGAACCTCTGTCGCGGGCTCCTTGGCGCCCACACGTCCGGAGACGATCCTCACCGGCGTATCCACATGGCATATGTCCATGCATTTCGTCCGCCAGCCGCCTTCATGGGAATCATGTCCTCGTAGTCGTAAATGACCTCATTGCGTTCCGCTGTACGTGTTCCTTTCGCTTCACTTGCCGTCCCCCTGGAAACACAATGTACCCGGTCGGAGGTCAGCAAGACAGGACGCTCCAGGGACATGCTAGTCGTGGTACGGGGCAATTACGCTGTTTCTCTCGTGCGGTTTTCGCACAATCATGCCCCTCTGCAATGGATCTTCGGTACAATACATGGCCTTGGCTCGTGTACCTGCAGTCTGACTCTTTAGCCTAGCTCTTCTCGTCAGAACTGCTAAGTTCTAGATGGAGCCGTTCAAGCGCCACCCGGATTACTTCCCGACCTCAACAACATTTCGACATACCCAATGCGGCATCGCCCTGAGCCCTATACATGGCTATAGTGGCATGTGACTTCACCAAAGCCCATAGTCAAGTAGTCATGTGCAAGTCGTGTGCAAGTCGCGTTTACCTAGGCACTCCAACTATGCGTCGGCCCGCTCAAGTGTTTGGGTTTCACCAAGACCACGTACACAAAACAAACTTTGACAGTTGTGAGTAGATGCAACATTGAACTGCCGTCTTACTGTGCGCCTGAGCCCCCTATCTACCGAACATTCGATTGTCAATTTTGCAAATCCTTGCTTGGCCGTAGCCTTGCTATCTGACAGGTATTCGTTGGGCTCGTATACCGAAGCAGGAGAAATGCTACCTCGTGAAAGTGGCATGGTTGCAATTTAGCATACCCCTGCCAATGCTTACAGACTGCATCTAGTCGTACAGCTTTCTTAACAATTTTCGCAGGCATTGTTAATGTTTATTTCACATGTTTGTAGCTTGTTCCTTGTACCGGCATTGAGAGACGCGCATCTGCATGAACGGGCTATTTCCAAACTGGTTCGTCCACAATCCCATCTGACAAAGCAGCCAGGTGTGGCGCCCCGAAGGTTGCTCGCTTGAAAACCTTGGCAATCGACGGGCATCATGCCTCCTCCGTCCGAGTAGTTGTATGCAGGCTACCGCAGCCACACGTACCCGTCTCGATACTCTTGCCACCAACGGTAAACTTGCGGCTATCGAACTCTATCTCACATTTTGTGGAGACGAAAACGGGCAGAACTACTTCCAGCTGACGTTGATAGGTCAGATAATGGTTTGGTCATCGGCTCGCCTTCCGATGAAACGCAAAATTCCAGTAAAGATGGCCGCAAATGCAATAGCTCGAGTGACCGGAAGCCTCTTGCTACCTGGGATCAAAGCCATCTCAATCTGATAACCTTACTAATCGCTGTTCCAAGCGTCCGGGGCACCAGTATGCGATGGATTTTTGGTCTTAGACGCGGGCTCACGCTGCGAAAATGCTCTCAACCACTCATCTGAACTCCGGTCCACTGTTCAAAGTCTACGCGAACTGCGAGACAAAATTTTCACGGAGCATGGATTCCCCATACGGCTGCAGCACGTCTTGGCTGCCATCTCCCCGTTGACACATGTCGTTGTCAACAGATCCCAAGATGGGTTTGTCTCGGTTGTCGTCTCCCCACATGGTCTGCGTGCATCGGAAGGAGGGTTTCATACATGGTGAGGACCTTTCGCCGAACAACGGTCTCGATGATCACGAGAAGCTCTGTCATCCGCAGTACCAGAAAGAAATCTTTATCCATGTCTCCAAACTAGCTTTCTCTTGTCAGCCTTATTCGCCAGGGAGGCTCTCCGGTCGATGTCGCACCGCGAGTGCAGCATGCAGACTACAAACTACTATCAGCACAATACACGCATAACAGATAGGTGCTATTTTGACAAATGTCGGTAATCACGTGATCAGGAACAAGAAGTATGTATTGCGGACGATGCCAGGAACTACCAGCCTTTACCGCGCCCCTCATTTACGACACAGGGACGCCCGTTCCAAGCTGCGTTGGGACCACTATCGTGTCTTCCCTTCGCCTCGCCGACTGACCTGAACAAAGGAAGTTGCAACTTTTTCCCTGTGCGCATCCATCTCCTCAAAGGGTGGCTCACCGTGGCTGCACGCCTCACAGCCCCGCGCAGCAAGGGTCATGATCCCTCCACTGACGATCGAGAGCCACCAACACCACTCTGTGCCGCGCGCCGTGGTGAACTGCAGACTTGATCACTGGTCAATGGGTACGATGCACGGAGGTCCCGTGACGCACACTCCTTCTCGGCTACTCCCTTGAAAAGGGCAGGTGCCCGATCGTGTCGCTCGGGGGTCCATTTTGACGATCTTCCAAAAAAGTTATGCAAGATGAGGAAGCTCAGACACTGACTCTTTGCTAGCGAAATACTGGATCTAGATCGGATAACTGACTCCATTGTCCTCTCGTGGCCGGTGCGATTACTTCGTTAGGTTTTACGGGTCGAACGTGAACGGGATAAGGTCGCGTGTCGATGTGGGTCGCAGACCCCCTCATCCGGACACTGCCGTCGATGGAGGGACGCAATCCAGGACCTTACATATACGCCTGCCGTCATTTTTCTTTCTCCACGCACACGGCATGTCCGTCGACGGGCAATTCTAGCCCCCTCCCCATGGAGTCATTAGCAAACCCAATCTCAAAGAGGGATGTGTCATGTCATGGCGGGTACATGGAGAGAGAAAAAAGCAAAGACGTGTTGGCCGATTCGCACAGGGCAACAAACATAACGTCATACTGAAGATGCACAAACTAGTTTGGCTTTGGGAGGGAACCACCAACAAGCGCAATCGCCATCGCCATCGCAATTTGCAATTTCCCAATCCTGCATATGCAGCTCGAGCGAGGCAGGCTAAGCATCTAACGCGCTACTAACCGCGAGGGGCGGAGCTGCTAAGTACAGTTACTCCTGCGGTGCACGGATTGGTCTGGTTTCGCGATATAGATGGTCGATTTGAGATGAGATGAGATGAGATTTAGGGGATTTCCTGGTGGAACTTCAACTGGGGCAGCGCGTCTGTGTGTTTCTATCCCTATCCCTGTTTCGAAGCCATGCACAATTTTCTTGGGTCAATGTAGGTGTTTTGTTTCAGAGAAGACGGGCGATGGAAACTCAATGATTATGGGTTTCAGAAATGAAAAGGAGAGGAGGTTCTTCTCATTTTCCAAATAACTGAAAATCATACCAAGGAACCAAATTGCCAGTCGTCAGCTGAATTACACAAAATTCCAATACCATGGTATTCGCGAAGTTTTCCGGTTTCCGTTGTTCGTCGTCCGATTCCCTATTCACTTTACTACATCGCCTGCCTATAGCTGTACCTATCACTAGAAGCTTCGCGTATCTCCTTAACCACACACACATACACGCTAACTTTCCCCTTCCTCCCATCGCTATCGTCATCTTTCCGTTATCATTGTCGCACTGGGGCTGAGGCCCTCACGTCACGGCCCTCGTCACACGTCGCACAACAACGTGTCGTGTAAACGTGCTTGTGTCGTGTTCAGTCATGGCGTGTAATGTAAGCCCAAAATAAGCACATTTTGTCAGCTGGCGCCGTTATGTAACTGTCGTATTATGTAGCGCTTACATGTGGTGGTTATGCGGATAATACGGGTGTGTGGGGTGGTGGGGTAATGGAGAGCCAATTATTTGGGTGAAGAGGGTGATTTTAGAGAGCTGTGGCTTTGGGGCTGGGCGGTTGCTTATTTGCAGCGGATTGGGGGGTGAGATGGGATGCGTGGTTGTGCTGGGGACGAGGGCACGACGGTGGTTGTACTGGGTGAGGGATACGGGGTGTGATACGATGTTTTGTACGTTGGCTCAACGCCCCAGTCTATTGTTTCTAGGGATGAGGAATGAGTGGTTGGATGTAGTGGTTTTCGTCAAGGTAAGACGATGTGTGTTGTGTAAGGTTTTACGTGGGAGATACTAAGGATAGCATAGGGATAGGTAGGATGGCGATGTCTTACAGGAATTCGCAGATGATTTCTTCAATGTGCGTATTTTGGTGGCTTATATCTTGAAAACCACTCGAATTCAAGCTTTTATATTGAGAGAAGTTCAAGATATTATTAGACCTAGGGCAAAAAAGGCGCCACAGCAAATATGTGACGAACATAGCTACGATGTTAGTCGCATGATTGTGAATAAGTGATTCACATCAGCTCTATACAATGACCTCCTCAACACTAATACAAATAACCTTCATAGCCGAAGCCATTATATATCTCGTACCCGCAACATCGCCAAACGGCATTGACCCTCTCCCTTCTGACTCCCGAATACACAAGCAAGAAATCCACACCCACAATGTCCTATAACGTACCCTCTCCAAAACTGCCACCACCGCACTATAAACATATATATATGGCATACCTCATATCCTCTTACTTACTCCGTGATTAGACAAAGTGAAATATCGTACTCGTAACGCGTAGCTTATAAAGCCTATTGTCCATATCCCCTAATTAAACTTAGCGTACAAGACCCATAGAAACTCCACAACGACCATTATTGTTGGGAATCGAACCTGCGGTAGATAAGGCAGCTGGTTGCTGCATGCACGAGCTTGGATTACACGGCTGACTAAGCCGTGTGGTCCGAGCTCTAGCTGCTGCCTTACTGCCGACCTCCCTCCACCTCCATAGAACAACAAGAACAATCACAATCATTTCAACTCGTTGCAACGAAGGTGATTCCGATACCTTAGCCGTATCAACACTGATCAGTGGTTGCTACACCACAGATCGGCTAGATATCTGACAAGGAGACCCATCAGCTCTTTTGCTGTGTAGTCTTGGCCAAGAAGCGACTCCTCCTACCTCACAGTAGCAAGGAGTGCGAAGTACAGCACCGCCCGCAGAGACTACCTATCAAGGTAGCGCTTTCGCCGACAGTCCTGAAGGAGATCTTGAACGAAAAGATCTGCGTCAACCACGCACAAAAACAACTGACAACGCCTGCAACTAACAGCAAACAATCGACTGACTTCAGCACCATGGCACCATACAAGAGCGTCAAGTACCGATCGTGGTACTCCGAGATGCACAAGAGTGAGTATGTCAACGCGGAACTCGACCCGACCGACACAGTCATAAACACCGACAAACTGAACACTGTCGTCCTCGATTGGGTCGTCCAAGTTGAAGACGATGGACAGTTCGACCTCTTCATCCTCCAGGAGTTCCAAAAGTCCTTCGAGGATTGGACTCAAGATATCATAACTGCGGTCGACGTGCGGCTCCGGAAAGCAGTCAAGGAATTGCTCCGACACCGAGGGATTTACATCCAGATCAACAGTCGTGACACAGTAATAACGCAACTGTACAACCTCCTCCATCTCTCGTCGTGCCCGATATGGCCTGACGACGAGCTTGAGCTTATGCGACTCGTCGACGGTTTCAAGTGTCGACAGCTCACAAACAGCAACTACAGTTACCCTAACCCTCCGCAGCCACCAACAGGATACCCACAAGCACAGTACTCACCGTCGCCAGCTCAACTCAACGTGACAGCACTCACAAACCTCGCGAAGCTGTACAATAACAACGATAAGTTCAGTGGTGACAAGTATGACGTGCTCAGTCACAAACTGGTCATCTTTCGAGAGCTTTGCGCCAAAGTCGGCATTCAACCTGGCCAAACTGACCGCTACAAGCTAGCCATCTCCACTATGCTTACTGGCAAAGCGTCAACTTACTACTACCAATCTATCGCTCCACTTGACCTTGGATACGAAGACATCATCGCGAAACTGGGCGCCTACTTCCACACTACCGAGAACTACCAGTTGTTCTTGAACGAATGGCGCACCATTATGCTAAAGGACGTCATCGCAAGTAATCCTGACAAGACAATTGCGCAATGCCTTGACTTGCTCATCGACAAGCTCCACAAGCTGTACCAAGCGATGGCTCAGCAGAATGGACTCAGCGAGTCAAGCCTCACCGGACAACTTGTGTCAGCATGCCAGGGTGTCGAAGCCTGCAGCGCAGTCCTGATCCGACCTGCGTCGACCTTTGAAGCAGTCGCTTCAGAGCTCCGCAACGCCGTCGGTAACTGGCAACGCTGTCACCCGCATGCTCGAACGCAGTTCAACTATGACAATGAACAGACAGACGATGACATCTTCTACACAAACCGACGATACAACCGAAACGACGAACCTCGCGACAGACCCCGAGGCTATGGCACCGGTCGCTTCAACCGCGGACCGACGCTGTCACGACCGCGATACCCTCCCCGCCGCTCGCACGATAAAAAGTGCTATGTGTGCGGCAAACAAGGATGCTGGTCAACGCGACATTCACACGAGGAGCGCAATGAGTCGCACCAACGCTTCAAGACTTATGTCCAAAACCACGATCTCGATGACGACTACGACGTGTTCCTCGCCGGATTCGAAGGCATCGAGCTTCATGACGAGGCAGAGGACGACGACGGCAACCGCGTTGATGACCTCGATGCGTACTTCCAACATGAACAATTCAACACCGCTGCTTGCGGAACCATCGACGGGCAAGCGCTCACCATCAACCTCAACGACGCCGCGGCGACCCACGCGATCACTGGGATCGACCCATACGCGTCGGAGACTGCAAAGGAGGCACCCCACATGTTCACCTTCGATCACCGATATGGTGCTCACTGTTTCCAAGGCATCATGCCCGACACCGGCGCGGCCGGAGTCTCCACTGCAGGAAAGACCCAGGTCATGGCACTGCAACGCCTCCAGCCATCGGCCACGATCAATGAGTCCACGGCAGGTCGCCACCGAATTCGATTTGGAGATAACCCAGAGTGTCTCTCACTTGGCGAGGTGAAGGTCAAAACCCCGCTCGGCGTTATACTTTTTGCGGTGATGCCGACCAACACGCCTTTCTTGCTGTGCCTTGCAGACATGGACCGCCACGGGATCTACCTCAACAATGTTGACAACGTGCTTGTACACGAGTCACGGGAGTACCCCATTGTGCGCAAATGGGGACACCCATGGCTCCTGCTCGACGACCAAGAGACCGCGACGCACTACCTCACCGAGGTAGAGCTTGCGCAACTCCATCGGCGCTTTGGTCATCCAGCTGCGGGACGACTCTACAAGGTCCTCGCGAGAGCAGGTTATAACGAAGTCGATGCGGCGACCATCGAAAAGATCAACAAGTTCTGTCACCAATGTCAGATTACTGGCAAGGCGCCAGGACGATTTCGGTTTACCCTCCGCGACGATATCAACTTCAACTATCGACTTATCGTCGACGTGATGTACATTAATCAGAGGCCAGTACTTCATGCTATTGACGAAGCAACTGCCTTCCAAGCAGCGCGCTTTCTCACCGACATGAAAGCAAGCACAACATGGGACACACTCCGCGCCATGTGGATCGATATGTACGTTGGTCCGCCTGATGTCATAGCCACCGACGCTGGCAAGAACTTTGCGAGCGAGGAGTTTGTCAACAATGCAAAGACAATGGCCATCGAGGTTGACGAGGTGCCTGTCGAGGCGCATAACTCCATCGGCAAGGTGGAGCGGTACCATGCGGCCATCCGCCGTGCCTTCGAAGTCATCTCCGCCGACATAGACAGCGACACGTCATCTGAACACCTCCTCCAGATGGCTGTGAAAGCCGTCAACGACACTGCTGGTCCAGATGGCCTTGTGCCTACTCTCCTCGTCTTTGGCACCTACCCCCGCCTATCCAAGACATCGCCGCCATCACCATCCATCAGCGCGCGCGCGAAAGCGATAAAGAACGCGATGGCGGAGGTCCGCAAGATCAAAGCAAAACGCCAGGTGAACGACGCACTTGCGACACGCAACGGACCGAACGTCATTGAAACGCTTCAGCTCCCGATCCAGAGCAGCGTAAAGGTTTTGGCGCGAGAACCGCGGTTGGACTGGTCCCCATACCCTCATCGCCCAGAACGACGACCTAACCGCCGCGATTGTCGACGTCGACGGCAGGCAGGCGACATTTCGAGTCACATCGGGGGGGGCATGACAACGGCACAACTCCACCGTATCCCGCGCGACGACCGAAATAAGAAGAAAGTGGGGGTTAGGGGTCAATAGGCGATTTTGTGCCGCAAAGGGGAGGGCCCGCCGTCCTCGGGGCGGGGGGGGGCGCCCAGGGGGCGAAAAAGGAGG